ATGTTTGTTCACTGCGTCATTGCAACTCCAGAAGTCAAATCTATTTCCTACTAACCATGTGGAGTTAGGGAAATAGTTGAGCTGATGCGATAGCTGGGTCTTGTTGCCACATCACAAAAAAACACATCTTTGCACCTCTTTCCTGTTTTTTTGCTGAGAACAGTGAGCCTTTCCGCAAATAAATGGCCTTAAGCACAATGCTGCAGGCGTAATCGCGACAACTGAAAGACAACAACGGCTTTTTCCGAGTCGCCACCTCTTGGAGACAGAACGCTGTTGTCGGAGGGGGGAACGAACCCTTGGATTAATAGGCTTGAAAAGGGGAACAAGAGGAGCCTCCTCCACCAAAAACACACACCCTTTCATAGCCTTCTCAAAAGGACCATGCTCACTTGCCCGAGCAAAGCACCTGCAAATAAGTTGGAGGTGCTCACCTTTGCAAACTAAAGAGAACCTCGGCAAAACCAAAAGGTTCAAAGGTCGGCTTTGAGCGCGCACCAGCAGCCGATTGCCAGGCACTGGATTGTGCTGGCAACACCGCATTGCGCAACGCCCAATTGGTCCGCATATGCGGTTAGAACATAGTGCGAAATCCTTAAAGCTGAGCGGATGAGCAATACCAGCAAAACAGAGCAAGACGTCCCCACGCATACGTACAGCTCGCACCCGCTCGCCCAACTCATCTCAAACTCTGTCTGCGTCAGAAACCTGCTTCGGGAAACGAAGAGAAATTGAAGAGGAATGAAGGGATGTGCAGGAAAGTGACGTGAAATGGGAAGCGAAGCGAGGTTGAAGTAGCGGGAACTACAATGAACTAAGGGAAAGGAATGCGAATGAAGGGGCGTTCAAGGAAATGAAGGGAGCTGAAGCGGAAATGAAGCGAAAGGAAGTGAAGGGAAATGCCAGGAAGGGAAGACATGCAAAGGAAGCAAAGTTCACATCCCGGAAGCTAACGGGAATTCAAGGAAAAGAAAATACAAGAATGGGAAGGGCAAGGTGCCCGGTGGCCGGCTGTGTCGCGTCAGCGTGTAAATCCGGCCACCGGACGTGATCGGGCCGCAGGCCAAGCCCGGAGGGCTTACCTTCAGGTATAAGGCCGTGCGCCCCATGCCGCCGACCATGCGCGGACCATGCGCATACGTTTTGCGCTGGGCCCTCCCTTATAAGGGGCCAAGGATTCGCGGATTGGTTTAGGCGATTTTTGTAGCATCTTCCCGCAGCGCCCAAAAACAAGTATTTTTAGGCTGGACAACACCCCCAGCATTGCCAGCATCATCCCGGATGATGTTGTTATGCATGCTGGCGATGCGAAACAAGGGCCGAAGGGGAAAAATGCAAGGAAACCGGAGTGACTGGAAGTGAACGAAATGAAAGTCAAAGGAATTGTCTTGAAAGGTGTAAATTGTTGCACACTCTGCACAACAAAAACAAATGTTCTTTAAAGCTTTCTACTGTTAAAACTTGATTTTTTAACAACGCTAACGGAAGGAAGAAGGGACATGCCAGGAAACTGTCAGGGAAGACATGCAAAGGAAGTGAAATTATCCCGCGAACTAACAGGACTTAGAGGGAAAGGAAATGAAAGAACGGGAAGGGGTGCCTGTGTCGCGTCAGCGTGTAAATACTGTGGATGGACGAAATCCTTTCGCACGGGCTCATTTTAGAACACCCCGAAAATAAACAATTATCCTTTCGATTTTTGTTCGAAACTAGCCGACAAGTGGCAGTGGTAGCCTCAAAACCGACACACCCATACTGTGGACGGGCGAAATCCTGCACCACTTGAATCGAAACCGTGCCAAACCATTGCTGGTTGGTATTTCAGGGGAATCAACTCATTCCAGGGCTTCAGAACGGTGCGCAATGGACTTCGCAACCATCCACAGCATGGCCCCCTGACCCATCCAGCGCTCCCGGCCGGGCTCCGGGAGGCCTCAGAGAGAAGGATTCATCCCGCCAAGACCAAAAGGAACCCGATGTACCTCTCTTTCCAAAACAAATCCTATGACACCCTGGGGATTTTGATTTCTTTTTTTCTTTTTTTTTAATACCGCATTCTCGATGTCTTTGGTTTTTTTGTTGTAACGCATTCTTGGGCCATGCTTGTCCTGCGAATGCATGAGATTGCACCCGGGGAGTACGCCCTCTGAAAGTCACCTTATTTTAGCCGATGTCCAGAGGAACCCGGGCTACTTTTGGTTTATTTGGGATTATGTCGGCCAAGTTCGTTGGTGGCTAGCATCCTAAGATATAACTTACAACCTGGGCTAGCTCCACTTGGGGGACTCACGAGCAGTTGCTTTTTTCCAGGGCCCATGGGTCCAACAAAAAAAGCCCCGGTGCCGACAAACAAAAGGCTCCACTCCATGAAAAATATGCGTTCCCAATGCAGGTCAACACTTCTTAGCCTCAGCATCTTACAAGCCACGTTGGTTGCCATACCCCAGGTGCACGTTCTGTGGTGTTCATGAGGTCTTGGAACATGTGCCAGCCGCACGATACTTGCAAAAATCGGGTGATTTAGATGGGTACTGGGCACCTGAGGCATCCTCTAAGAATGCTTGTTTTATTAATTAGTACTTGTTTTTCTTCGGGGGGGGTGTCACGTTAGTCCCAGCAAGCTTGTCTTAATTTTGTCTCTCGATCCGGCTTCGCAAGCAACTCCAAGCCTGGCGGAGTTGGCGGGGGGGGGGGTCTCCAAAATGCGACACAGCGCGATGTCATTTGCCCAGATTCGTCCGCAGTTACTGGGTCCAACATGGCATTCTCAAACGACTCTCTAAATGGCAATGGAAAACAACCCCAAAAGGAAACATGCAAACCCCTCAAATGCAATCACTTGAATAAAGCCTTCGCTCTGCGCATTTCATCGCATTTCTCTCCGCACTCATCCTGCCCAATCTGGCGGATCTGCCACGGCCAAAGCAGAACGGACTGGGCCTCACAAAAACACAAAGGTGTCACATCCTGCACCTTGCCCGCAGAATCAAGGACATGAGAGCCAAAGCCTTCAAAAACAGGTGGTCAATGGTCATGGGACGGACATCCCTTTCTCGTGTCAGGAAGGGCCAACTGGAGAAAAAAAGGTCAACCTGAACAGGGCACTCTCCCACCTTGGCACCTGACACGGGGTCCCTCCAAGAGGCAGCTGATCTTCCAAACGCCCTCCCGCAGGTGCCCTGATAGTGGGAGGAAGGGTACAATTCAGAACCTAGTGGGGGACCTCTATGGAGTTGTCATTCTGAAAGGAGGGGTTCTGAGCCCCAACTTGATCAAAGGAGAGCTGTGAGGGGGCCAGCCGTGGAGCCAAGAAACGAGATCCTATGGGAAACAGCATGCCACTGAGCAACTGGAAAGTGAATAGGTAGTTGCAGAATCAACCGGCAAGCGCTCATCTTGAACATCTTTGTCTGTGAGATCTGTACATCTACATCCTGCCATCTTGTAATTGTGGGCGGTATGTTTGCATCTGGCAAAGGGCCAAGCACATGCTCCTTCGAACAGCTGTCGCACGTGCCCAATCCGCCTCCGTGAAACAGAATAAGACTGACATGTCACACCTGGTGACCGCTGGTGGGCCAGGGATATGCTGGTCACTTCGAAGAGCTTCCATTTGCTTAAGTCTACTGGGATAAACATACGTCCAGGAGTGTTAGATCCCCTTCAAAACCAGCAGCAGGGGGAAATAACAAAAACATACTATGTATTATCAAGCAAATATATGGAAGGGGACAGGAAAATCCCCCCTCAAGCTGGAAAGAACCTGTTATTGTCGAGGAGCTGGCTAGCATTGCACAGGTTAATCCAAAAAGTTCCGACCGCGGATGGCATTGGCCCTACTGTATCCACGCGATTCTTTGAAACGACCCGACAGACATCCCAACACCTGAGCCAATCTCACCTGCCTATGCCCTGCATGAACACACACATGATCACACAGAACAGCCTAGTCCCAACGCAACAACAACCAAGTACGCATGCAAAAGGACAGTTGCCTCTTCAGAGAAATGCCAGCAACTATCTGCTTCATGAAAAGCCAGCTTTTGGGTTCCGGGTGAATACCCAGGTGTGACAGTTTGCGGCAGTGCCGAGGTCGAGTGCAAGCACCATCGTGTGCCCAAGCAGCTCGAGCCAAAGTTGGAGCTGAAACATCCCTGCCACTTGTTTCGGCCCCCTGGACAAAAGAATGTATAGGTTCCCCATTAAACCAGGGGCAGAGAAAATAAAAAACAAAAACAATCCCCTGAAGCAAATAGAAGATCCTGTTACAATAGCTACCAGGTTTTGAAATGAAAGGATCACTCAGCTGCTCAGACAACATGCACGGTCAGTCTGTTCTCGGGCTGCCTTTCGGCTCACGCACAGGCACTTGAGACAAAGGGGTCTGTCCTTCTGTCAGGGAACCCCCAAAAGCTGGTTATTTTGCGTTGTTTTTACTTTCGTATTCAAAAACGGTTTTAGTGTCAGATGTTTTGTTTGAGGGCTGTGTTGTTTGCCTTAGTTTCCTCTCAACAAACCAACCTTTCCAAACGGAATACGCCCAAATGTTCTCGAGACCCAGCCCCGGAAGCCTCCCCGAAAGCTGCCCCAAACCACCGAGCAAGCCGAGTTCTGGGCAGAGGGCTTCTTCCCCTCACATCGATTGCGCCATTCAGATGCGCCATTCCAATGGCGCGGGCGGTCCCATAGAGCAAGCCCTTTTGGCAAACAGACTTGGTTTTTATTATACCTTTTTTCGACTCAGGACGTGTCATCCAAAAACGAGCAAGCATCAGTCGGACCTCCACACGTTTTTCCTGAAATGGGGTAGTGTCCTTTGGTTTCCCTTCACGTCCGGGGCCAAAAACGGTGCCCTCACCCATGTGGCTGTGGGTCAGACATGGGTACCCATCATGAAACCCTGGTATATGGAACCCAGGACTAAAACCTGCGGCCCCCTGGTGGTCCAATTTGACCCATACCTGTGTGATGTATTCCGGCCCAAGCAGACCCCGTCCATCTCAGGGCGTCAGACTGATCTTCATCACCTCTGCCAAAGGCCGGCGCCAAATGCCGAAGCCTCGGTTCGCTGCACGCGGGGCCTTCGCGGACGGACAGGGCTGACCTTTGTGGGGGGTTTCACATGTTTGGAATTGACCATTCTTGGGGTCGACTCTGGTGGGCCTGGACTCCACTTAGCAATTAGTAGTGACCAAACAAGAATGGAGAAAGGGTGCCAACCACATGCGTATCTCCGCAACAACTTGTGTTCCCAAAGCGTACAAAAGGAGCAACACGCGTGTAAAAGGATCTGCATCCTGGTCCTTTACATGCCAGGTAAACTCGACACAACATATAGGCAAGTCATTCATACCCTCTTTCCAACCAAAACTTGTTCAAGAGCATGATAGCTGTCCAAAATCCTCGTGCCCACTGTCCACTTCCACGATTTCTTGGAAGGCCCCCACCTTGGCTTGGACTTAAAGGAAAACCAATGGAAAACCATGAGGTCAGGGTTCACTCCATTTAGACACAAGCCCACGTGAGTCACAATCAAAACCTGGTATTTCAATGATGAATACAATTGCGGCTGCACCCGTGTATGGCCGGGAATATCCCTTACTAACCTTCATTTACCCAGGTTTTGAGGACGTGGCTCACGTGATTCCAATCGCTTCAATCCTACGCGAGGTGCTCCCTCTGAATTTTCCGACGTGTCTTGAAGTCGTCTGCAAGGGGCTCTTGCCCTTCTCCTGGAGCGTGTACCTGGCGCTTTGCCCATAGCCCTGGGTGTGTGTGTGTGTGTGTGTTTTTTTTGGACAAGCTTTTCGCCGCGTAAAACTTGCAGCGGCTCAGCAGGGAATGAGGGAATGAATGCATGGATTCCCAAACAAAACACAAGGGTTGGTTTACAAGGGTCATTCACCAGCAAGCACAGAGAACCAAAAGGAATGCCACCGTCTTTGACACATACCTACGCATCCCCCACAACCTGGGTGTTCGACATGCGGTCCTCAATCGTGGGACACCACTGAAACAAGGGAAACCAAGACTATGCTGCCAGGCGACAGAACAATTTTAAGGCCCCTTTCTGCGGGGTACAGAAAGCAGCTGCTTGGGCACCAAAAATACCAAACGAAACCTGCAGCTGTGACAACCAGACATGCCATGGCACGGCCTACGGCCTGGCTCGCTCGCGTTGAACGCCCTATGGCAACGAAGTGGAGGAGATTCAAAGCTCGACTTCAGCGAAGCCAACTTTTTTTGTGCCAATATCCATGCCAACTTCGGATTGATCTGCAAAGCCACACACTAAGTCGGGCCCTTTCAGTCGGATAAGGGTGGTCCGGGTCCAATTGCAACATGGGATCGCTTGAAATCAATTGAAGCCAATCTTGGCTGGGGGGCTCCACAAAAGTGACAGGGAAAGGTCGATGGTTGGAATATTGGGGGTATCTGAATTCTTTCTTGCGCATTCGGACCAAGCAGCTGGAAAACTGACCTTAGAGTGCATTGAATGCATTCGGGTAGAGAGCTGGAAAACTTGTCCAAACCCCAAAGGCAGAAAACGTGGTGAAAAAAAACCTATCCCAGCGTGCCACTGGGATAATCTGGGCTACCTTATGGGAGTGCTTTTTCGTGAGGGCCAGCAGGGTTTCCTTGTGGTTTCCCTGTTAAACAACCTTGGAAAGGGTACCCTCAAGACAGCACACACCCACATGCGCGCAGGCAGCAGTTTTGCACCCAGGGAAACCTCCCTTCAAGTGAAGTCGTCAGAACTGCTGTCACAACGAACCTAGGTCCTCCAGCAGAGAGGTTAGAGTAAGGGCACCCTTTTTTCTCTAGTCTATTTTGGTAGGGGGAACCCTCCCCCGGCAAAAGGGCGCTACTCGAAAGCCTAGGAACCCTCAGAAACCGAACCGTGCCGGGCTCACAAGCTATCTTTGCCCACGCAGCCGCCGAGCCATCTCTCCGGCTGCCTGAAGCTTGGGGGCAGAACTGGTTTACAGACCTGCACCTGGCCCCACAAGCAAAACCAAGAAGAGGCTGTTTGACCAAGGGGTCTTGAAACATGCTTCAAGGGGTCGCCGGAAGAATAATATTACCACATGCATCTGGATAGAAGCCTTTCTCACTTTCCGAGTGGCTTGGCCAAAAACAACAGAAAGTCCTTTCTTGTTAATTATTCATCACTAGTTAAAATGGCAAGCCTTTCTCAAGTTCCGAGTGGCATGGCCAAGAAAAAGGGTCCATGGTTGTTTTTTACCACTAGAATGGTCCAAACCCGAAAGTGAAAGTCCGAAACGGACCTCAGGGAATAAGCCTGTTGGGCGCCACCTGGCGCCTCTCGCGCCTTAGCAACGCGTGTGAAGCCTCGCCTGGGCCGAAGCTCTAGGAACTTGGCGATGGGCTTGGCGGCCTTGCCCAGGTAGAAGCCCTTCAGCTGCCCCTGCCCAAAGATTCCATGCTGAACAGAAAGAAGCCATTTGTGTCAAAGGGGCTGGGTAAAAAAGAGGGTTTGTCGCCATGCTGAAAAAGAAGTGTTTTGTTTCAAAGGGGCTGGGGTAAAAAGAGCCTTTCTTCCAAAGAGGGGTTGTAACCCAGTCCAAGTGCGCTGTTCAAGCTGGAAAGTGCACCTGGGATTCCTTCTGTACCTGCAAACCTGTGAGAGGGGCCCTTCAAAGGCTGCACGCGCCTCAGTCGTTTGCTTGGAGTAACTGGCTGAGGGCTGGAGGACGCAGCCCGAGGAACGCAACGCATGACGCAAGCAGCTGTTCGGATCTGTAGCAAGGGCCCCTAGATTTCCCTTTCTGGGTGGCTAACATCACCTTGACACATTGCTGGCCCATCAAGATCAGTTTCCTTTTTGTAGGGGTGATGTTTGAAAAGAAAATAGGGACCCCCGCGAAACATGATTTTTGCTTGCGACAAATTGACTTGGTCTTGGTGGTGTGGGCCGGAACGTTGCCTCAATGTACCTAGAAAGACTCTAAACATCTCCCCTTCGTCTGCCGATCCTGATCCTTCCCAAGTCGCAACCTTCAAAGAACACGTCTAAGCGGCCAGCCCCGGAGATATCAACCCCTCCGACTGGGGCAATGTTCCCCTCCAAAAGTGATGAATTTTGACTAGACTCAGGGACACCTCCTATTAAGAAGCTGGGGTTCACTGATTTGGGGTCAACATTGTAGCCTCAACGATTCAATGGCTACCCGCCATACACCTCATGTTCACATTGCGGTGTCGCCGAAACCGTCCTCAAATTTCAACCGGGGAGCGAGGCAGGAAGCCGGTGGAAACACCGCCGTCTTTCGAATGGTTACTCGGATTCCAACACCCGAAGCACGGTACGGTATTCCCAAAGAAAAGACCCACATCCTGGTCAGCTCGCCTTCCCACCCAGGTGAGATGTCCATTTTGTAAAAAGAAAAACAGAGAGTAGGCAGTGGACATATCGCTTGTGTCGCGGTGTGGCATGGCTATCTCCTCCGAAGTTCCTCAAGAAGATCCTGTCAGGATAATCCGCTGACCATTTTGAGTTGGAAACCCACCAAGCAAACCGCAAAACAAGAAACACATCTCAATGGTACCACTGAACAACTATTCTTTAAGCTCCGGCCAGCCTGTTTAATCACCTTACTTTCTCAGCTTTAAACCCCGTCCTGAGGAAAAATGCAGTTCTCCAAGCAGGAACCTACTGAACCTCAAACTGCGAACATATACACATGCATATACCTGAGCAAATGTCCATAATTCACACTGCCCGGGTAAAGGACCTTCATCGTGGGTGAGCGCACTAATCTTTGTCCAAATGTACCAAGGTACAAAGCCATAGCCTGTGGCAAGGAAAACAACAATCTACACTTTAACAGGGCTCGTCGGCTGACGGTTTCTCAAAACAAGGGTCGCCTCAAATCGTTGGTTTCCTCTTGCTCACCCTCCCCCCCCCCCACAAAAAAAAGAGAGGAAAAAACAGGGGCTCTGCCGTTTTGAGAACCCCCCAGCTTGGTCGTTCAGATACTCGGTGGCTCCAGCCATCCGGTTCCTCAGCTGTTTCGCCTTTTGGTGTTTAGTGGTAGTTTCCATTTCACCTGCTATGTCCCCCTTTATGGATATATATATATATATAACAATAATAATGGTCATATTAATAGTAGTAATTTCAGTAATAGAGAACAAAACAAAAAGAACAGACAGAAAACAAAACGCCCCCCAATGCCACGCCGCCTGTGTCCAGGCGAAGAGCCAGGGGTGCTGCGGCCAGCGCAGCAGCCACTCTACGCGCCCCTCCGTGTCCAGGTCCCGCTGGGGGAGGAACTCCTCACCACAATTGTGCGATCTGCTTTCGCCCAGCATTTGGTTGGATCTTTTGGTGTAAGAGTGCTTAATCCACCAACCATGTTTGAGGCAGATGCTCCTGAAACACAAAAGGTGGAACTGTCTGATCAGGTCCCGGGGGAAAAAAAAGAGCATCCCCAACCTGGCTTGGGGGCAAACAGAGTTCAGAACAAACCTTGCTGCCCCAATCCATTGGCCGCGAGAACCTGGACAGCCGGGCTGCGGCTCGGATACCAACCCGGCAGCTTCCCTACTGGGTGTAAGGGCGTTCTGGGCTTCTCATCTGGCAGCTGGGGGCCCACGGGCTTGGTAGACCAGACAGCTGGGGGGCCACTGCAAACTAGACCAAATCAGAAGCTCAGTGTCTGGCTGGCTTCTTGTAACAGTAGGAAGCGCCGTTGGCACACGTCACACATACTTTGACAATCGCACTCCTGAATAAGAATGGAAGTGACGCTGGCCGAATCCTTTACGAGTCCAAGCCAGCGTAAGATAAATGACAAACACGACAAAGGATAAACCTTGTGGGATGCGGAATGCGGGTTGGTGCGGAACACATTCAGAGCTTCTTCATCCCATTCAGATTTTGATCCCCAGGGCAAGCGACACCTCTGGGCTTGTTCCTAAAAGTTATGACGTGAAACACTACGCTTGGTAAACCAAGCGGGGGGGCGGGAGAAGGAGATGGAAGAACATGGAAGTTCAATGACCGTTTTGTTTGATAAACAACCCTCCTCTACTTCCAAGCCTGGTGCACTTCCATAATTAAGTCCAACCCTTTTGCCAACTGGGAAGACATCGTTTTTGGGGGCCAAAGTTTCCCTGGCTCTCAGCGGGCGACCTGCATAAAACCATGCAACTGGTGGTTTCCATTAAGGGGACTTCGTTCCAAAACATCCAAATTCCATACTGAGAACCATTGCTTGATTGCCGACCCCAGTTCAGTGAACATATCCCAGGTTAAAAAGCCTACTTACAACCCACCGAACGCGGGCGGACGTGAACATGGGATGCGAACCGCTGACCCAAGTGGCTTGGTCATTCAACAGGCTTCCCTATAATTTCCTCTTTAGAATCACGCCAGAAGGAAGCTCAGCTCTGGCTGGGTCCTCCAGTAGAGAGGTTAGAATAAGGGTACTTTTATTATTATTATTATTATTTGTTTTTTGCTGTGGTCTACTTTAGTCGGGGAACCCTCCCAACCAAAAAAGGGGTGGAAAGGGCACCTGGCTGGTGGACCTAGCTGGGGTAGTCAAACAACGGAACCCTGCCAGGACCCAAAGGGGAAACCAAAGCGCCCAGCCCGCTGCCAAAGCTCGTCTCGGGCCCAGTGCAGCTCCACAATCTCATCCCTTCCGTCCAGCTCATCACTTCGAAGCGCCCAAAGCTCCTGACGCGTCTCACACCCGGGTCCCTGGAAAGATGCAGAATGGACACGGGAGTAGAGTCATCTGGCCGTGGGTCAAGACCCTGTACCCCTGGTGAACATCAAAGTAGGTGGCAAATGGATGTTCCACCCCAAAACGGAGCCATAGGTTATGCCCCATGGCCAGCTTAGCCATGCGTCTCGGTGAAAACTTCTCTTCGCCATCCCGAAGGCCCAGCAGTTGGGGCGCGAAGCGTTGCTACATCTAGCCCCTTTTTTTTCGCCGCGCCAAAGGAAATGAATAGAAACCAAACTCATTGTCTACCCGAGTGCCTCTCAACATAGGGCCCCGTGAAAAAAATAAGTTGGTGTCCTTTTGGCTGCCCTTTTCAATACCAACCCCCACCGGTTGGTGGTCGTTCAACACATGAACACCCCTGCACCGGGCTGGCCGACTACTTAGCTAGGTGCTTTCAAAGGGAAACCACCCCGTGTCTTGGAAAAGGCAACGGGGTGAACGTAGCAATAGCGCATACGGGTGGAATCTTCTAGTGCTACCTTCCCCATTCTTTCCAGGGATCCTTCATTCTAGAAAACCTCCGGAAACCCAGGGAAACGGATCCGGTTGAAAAGAACCATGGTTCATGATTAGAGTTGGGCCCAGTTATAGAATGTATATCTTATTGTTTGTTTCACTTTGAGTCACTAGTAAAATGCAAAATGTATCCCAAGCCCACCCCAGGGTTGAAAAGAATGGACAAGGAATCAACCCTGAGAAATCTGTTCCAAAGGGCTCCTGGCCAAGAGAGCCCCCTTCCGTTTTTGACGGCTACCGAAAAGACTCTGGGCGTGAGAGGTCGACCAAAGCCCGAAGAAGAACAAAAACGGGTGCCGCAGTTGAAGACAGGGTCCCAAAAACGTCACTCGCGCGAAGATCATGTGCTTGAAACGCCACGTTTCTTTCTTCAAAGGCGGGGTTCAAGCAAAACCTCAGAACCCGAGGCATGCATGGACTCAGAACAGTCCAGGGTTTCTGAGCAAACCGCCTTGGGTGGTTGACCAAGCTCGTACGTAGGTTAGTAGCCTAGGCTATATACTCATGAGTGAGTTGTGCCGGTTGTAACTACTAGGCACTTACTCACTTGGCCGAACATCCAAGTACCATCCTAAACGCCTACAGTCATCCATTGAGAGCGGACTTTGCACATGAAGACTGCACTTAAAATCCAACCGGATTTCGACCAGGGTGCCAGCATGTCCGAACCAAATCAAAAAAATCAGAGCCTACACTCTACCTATTTCAAATATAGTGGTTTTCCCTTTGGGGCCCCTTTCAAACCACAAGAAAGTCGGATCCTTCCAACCACCAGCTAAATAGTAAAACCACATGAACCAAACAAGTACCCTTCAAGCAACTCTGGTTCCAGTAGTGATAGGTTCCCTCTAAAACCAAAAGAAATATATATATATATGTTTGAGCAATCAGAACACCTTCTTAACAACAACTCCAGTAGTGATAGATTCCCTTTGAAACCAACAGGTCAAAATATAACATCTTCTCGATTCAATGAAACCAAATGTTTTTTGTTCGAACCCTCGCAGCCCTGCTTTCCCCAGAGACCGCCCGCCTCTGCAAACGCCAGGCTCCGCCAGCTCCCCTGCAACCGCCGTAGCGCAGGGGAGCCGCCCCGCAGGGGGCAGCGTAGCAACTCCGAGCCTTGGTGGCCCATCCGGTCAAACCCAAAGACCGCTCTCGTCGACTCGTGTGATCGATCGCTAAAAGGAGAAGTACTAGGTTCAAATGCAGCAAACAACATTTGGGCATAGGTGTCCTTTTAGGGGAAATAGATGGCCCTGGTAGCTGATTGCACCACCAGGTAAACCAGGGCCATCTATTTTTCTACCCAAGCAACCAAAAAGGACACCTATGCATGTGGGGTCTATGTCAAGCTTTCGAACTCTGTGTGTCGAGCATTCGGATTCTGAGCGGGATGGATGGGCGGGCTATTGCGCTCTAAGGCAAACATGTTCTCAAGAAACCGCAGCGGTGCTGAGTGGAATCCCAGAATAATCATTCTTTAAGTCCTATGTTTCCCGGCTATTTGGAGTTTGGAGGTCTAAAATGGTGGGTGGCTTTGGGGGTGTTGGGGGTGAATGAGTCATGCGTCATTCCCTTGATCAAGACTAGGATTCGTTTCATCAACCAAACCGCCTTCCTCTGCCTTGAACCTCGTATCGTTCATTTAGCTGGGTCCTCCAGTGGAGAGGTTAGAATAAGGGTACCAACGGGTACCAACTTGTTTCTGTCTATTTTAGTAGGGGAACCCTCCCCCAAAAAAGAAACGGTAAAAGGGCACTACAGGGGGACCTAGTTTAGCGTTCCTTGAAAGGTACATGCAACAACCATGTGTTTTACAAGGGGAACCTCTAACCCAGCTGGTGAAGGTGAGAAAGGAGCCGTCTTGGCTGCAGCTCTATGGTTGACTCGCAATTTGCGGGCGTGGGGTGTCAAGTTTGGCCCTTTCTAGTAGCCCCTTTTCAAGGTGGCACCACAGCACATGTCAAAATTCAGGACGCGGCAGGTCGCTTTTCAAATCTTCCCTGCCTTTCACTGACATGGAACCTAAGTGGCGGGGTCCTGTAGGCTGCTTCAACGAGTCCAACACACCCTGAGACTCACACACCGAGGCCCACACACCAACCATTGCGTCCAAGAAGCTGTTAGCTGACAGCAGCCAAAGACTACAGTCTCCAGCAACCTGCCGCGAGGCCAGAGACACATGGCCAAAACGCCTCTGGCCAGTCAAGGTGAAGACATACAAGTGCCCGATCCATCTACGCAAACATATTGCGATGGTGTGATGGCGCCCTGGCTGACTCTGCCATGAGCGTCAGCCTTTCAATTCCTTCAGTTTGCTTGTAAGGGAATAAGGGCGGGAGCAATCCTTACGCTGAACTCATGGCATCTCAAAGCTTAGAGTACTAATTTAGCATCTGCTGGCCTTTCTGCCTCTCAAACATGAACTCTGCGCTCGTTTGACCGCCGAATCAGTGAGCTCAGCATTTGCGCAAAGGGAATTTTGGGTTCTCCTATCACCCTGTGCTTCCACTTAACACTAAAGGTATCCATGAAAAAGCATCATACGAATTAGAAGTAGAACACCCTGGTTTGCTGGAATAGCAAACCATTGCCCTTGATGCAAAGCATCCCCCCAACTTCAACTTGCTGAAGTGCCTTTCAAAAAACATTCCTTCCAAACCAAGAGGGAAGACATAACACATAGTCTAAAACAATTACCTCGGTTGCTTTCTGCTCCCCTGCTAAAAAATTGCAAAAAGTCAAAGTCCTATCATCCCTTGGCACAATGCACCTTTGAATTGGAAGTGTAGTAACTGGAAGCAGTGAAGACCCCCCACCCACCCCTCCTGGCAGTGCAGCGCCCCACTGGCAATGCCTCGCGCTAGGGCCTGGCGAGTCACCGAGCTGAGCGAGCTTTGGGGGACCTACCGGATGGCGTCCACAGCACCTACAAAGACGGCTGGACTTCAAATGCAAGCTCAGATGTATACTGAAAACCAAATCTAAATTTTAGCTCTACACTATTCTTTCTTGATTGACAATTTCAAATTATATATTTTTGACATGAATCCGCGCCCGGAATGCCCAGAGTGTCCACACGTATCCAGAACTGGGCTGTCCGATTTCAGATCCCCTGCTAACAGTGACTAACCCTTAGTGGGATAAATGCGTTAAATGGAACCCCCACTAAACCTTAAAAAACCAACAATCTAAGGGGACCAAGATAAGTCACGCCCAATAAGCAATGAGAAGACCAGCTGCAGAAGCAGCTCTGCAGCCGCTGACTGCCACTTTCCGGAAGCCTCACTGGCCTGATTCCCATTCACGGCCTAGGCATGGAATTTGTAACCGGCACTTTTGGTATGTGTCGGTTTCCTACGGCACCACAGTGCCCAAACAAAACAACAGGGCATACCGAAACCTCGCAAACTTAGCCAGCAGCAGGGAAGTCGCAAACAGCGGCTGCACACCTTGTGAAAGGTGGTAGCGGGAAAGGTCTCAGCGTTGATTCCTTCTCATTGCCGAACAGAACAGGCCGCCAAACAAACGTTCAAGACAGGACCCGGTCCCAGATCCGTAGTTCATTTTAAAGGGACACTCCTCCAAAAGCAAAACGCAAAAAAAGGCACCATTGGGCATCAGGGTGAACATGCGAACAACCTGCTGTGAAATGGGTGCCTTTGTCCAAATAGCCCGAGACATCAAAGTGACGGAGCCATCCAATGGCGCAGAAAGCCTGGGGGTAGAAGACTGGCTGGCTACAAGCTTTGTGTAATTCATGGTGCTGCTAATGTTGACCCCGGCAATGGGGTTGTTCCCCCCCCCAAAGTGATAAGTCCCCACTAAAACAAGGGACGCCCCCTATTAACAAGCAGGGGTTCCTTAATCAGGGGTCAGCATTACACCCCAAAAAACAACATTTGTAGAGGAAACTCGCCCTCCACCGCCCCCACCGCCTGCCCTTGCGGGCTGGCTAAACATCGGTCCAACTTGGCCTGGCGCAAAGCAGGATCTGCGAAGCATCTGGCACATTTGTCATATGTGTGTGTATGTGTGTATGTGTGTTTGTGTGTATGTGTATGTGTATGTGTGATGTGCGATGTGTGATGTGTGATGTGTTTTGTGATGTGATGTGATGTGATGTGTGTGTGTGTGTTTTCAGGGTGCCCCCTCGCAATACATAGGTGTTTGCCACATATCCAGATTATTACAGACATATCTCCCGGATTGCATGTACAAGCCGCGTTACAAGCATTGTTGAACACAATTGGTTTGCCACGTGTGCCATTCCGAAAGCGAATGCGTTTGGATGCGGCCCTCTGCATCCCCTACCATTCCGTGCCCAGATCACATGGTGCCGCTCGCAAGCACGTTGGCTTGGCAAAACAATCACACACGCCCATCATGACGCAATAAGTCTATGTGTGGGCACACGTACACCATCACACAAACACAAAACACAACACAACCCAAAAAAACACACACACACACACACACACACACGCGAACAAGCACAAACACAAACACAAACACAGAAACATAGAAAGAGACACACAAACACAAACACAATAAACAAACACACAAACACACGCGCACACGCAAACACACAAACAATAACAAACAAACACACGCAAAGAAACAAACAAACACACAAGCAAACAAACAAACAAACAAACAAACAAACAAACAAACAAACACAAGCATACAAACGAGAAACGAAGAAACAAACAAACAAACAAACAAACCAACAAACAAACAAACAAACAAACAAACAACCAAACAAACAAACAAACAAACAAACACATAAATATAAAACAAAGCAAAAAGCAGATGCATAAACAACCCCCCAAAACAACACTCACACACACAAACACACACAAACACACAAACACAGCAACACACAAACACACAAACAGACAAATACACAAGCACAAACACACAAACACACACACACACACACACACACACACACACACACACACGCACGCACGCACGCACGCACGCACGCACGCACGCACACACACACACACACACACACACACACCAAAACACACACACACACACACACACCAAAACACACACACACACACACACACACACACACACACACACACACACACACACACACACACACACACACACACACACACGCACGCACACGCACACGCACACACACACACAGACACACACACACACACCACAAAAACACTCGCAAACACAATCACAAACACAAAAACACACACAAAACAACAGCACACCAACACACACACACACACTCACAAACACAAACACACACACACACACACCCATACACGCACACACATGCACTGACGCAGTCACGCAGTGATGCGCACACACACAGACAGACACAGACACCCACGCCACCCACCCACCCACCCAGCCACGCACGCACGCGTGCACGCTCACTCCAGACTGTACACCGTCCCAGCCTGCACGTAGGCAACGTCGCCTCCATCGGCGAGGGCGTGCACCGTGTACTTCTCCACTGCAAGAATAACCCCAGGCAACGCCTCGGCTCCAGTGGTCCACATCTTCCCCCAACCCACAGCGCTTTCCCACTCGGAACGAACAAAGCACTAGACACCAAACAAAGAGACATGTGTCAGATTGTAGTTTTAAGCCGGGAACAGTCGAAGTAACACGAGGAAACAAGGCGGCAAGCTCGAAACATCATGGAGTAACAGCAGGTTGAACACATGACTCTGGCTAAGAAGTTTGCAATCCCCAGCAGTGGTTTTCAGCTTGGGCTAGCAGTGGTTTTCAGCTTGGGCTTTACCCATCTTGCACTTTCCAAGCTTGCATTTGCACCCTTAAGTAACCAAATATGATGCTCGAAAGCGACAATCATGAAAGACCTTCCCGCAAAGTCAGTCTTTGGAACTGAATGCCCAAAAAGGGAGGAGTTTCTCAAACTAGTGCACTCCCGCTTGCTTGGCACGAACCAACAGGAAACCAACCATTTTAGGGGACCCTGATGGTCAACCTCAAGCATATCCAAAAGCCCCACTTCAGGCTCCAGTCTATGCCTTGAAACTTGTCGACCCTCGATCTTCGAAGTGTTGATGCCTCCTTCTCGTCACAGGTTCTCTTACCACCCAAGATTGGCCAATTCTTGCAAGAGAAGACCAGGAAAGGTACGGCTACACTCCCTCAGACTAACATGGAAGCCCCATGGAAATGGAACCAAGTAATCCAAAAGGGTTCTGGGACTTCCGTGTGGGGGGTGATCAACCTATTCCTGGCCCCCGAATGCTCAATTTAGTGGAAAACATAATCTTTGTAGTGGTCTTCCCCCATAATCCCATGCTTACCGGGCCTTTTGATCAACCCCCATGCTCGCCCTGAGGGTTTTGCCTTGAGGCCCCGGCCGGGTGACACGCCAAGGACTTCGGGCTGGCGAAAGCCAATGGCCAGTGATCCGCGACCTTGGGGTGAGGCGGGCGTGAACCGTCACTCAACCGCTTGGAGTTGAATGGGTCTGGCGATGTCTGGCGTGCTTTTAGGGACCCTCTAAAATGCTTTTCTTTCCTTTTGTTTGAGTCTGGCGTGCTTTTACGGGACCCTCTAAAATGTGTTTCTTTTCTCTTTTGGGTCTGGCGTGCTTTTTGGGGACCCCCTAAAATGTTGTTCTTTTAGTTCGGTCTGGCGTGCTTTTCGGGGACCCTATAAAATTGTGTTTTTTCCCTCGTGGTTGAGTTTGAAGCCAGAGAAAAAGACGGAGTACCCTCCCGCAAAAAAAAAAGAGAGACTCCCAAATTTCAGCGAAGGGCAGAGATGCAAGATGCTACCAAATGTTGACCCAGTCATAGTGAGTAACAACCAGCTAGCATATCCAAGCGCAAGCGCGGACAACCAGACCACGCCCTCTGCCCTTTACAACTTCCAAACGTCCAAAAGCGTCAAATCAAACGGGTGGTGAATAACCCCGTTTTGCACGGCCAGGGGGTGTCTTTGGGGGGGGGGGGTGGAGGAATATCAGAAGGAACGCCACCCCATGAGGCCCGCGGTAACATCATAAATGTCAAAGCTGGGAAGCCAATAAGCATTCAAAACTGGGAACATCTTAGCAGCTAAAACCTACTGGTTGTCCTTCCGCAAGAAAGCCCCCCCAAACTGGATTCGGATGCTGTAAGCTTGCTAATCAAAGGGAACCAGGAAGGAATCAACGGTCACAACATGTCACAACCCAACATACAACTAAAAAGTGATCCCCCAAAAGAAGATTCCGAGGACCAGGTCTTGTGGGGGTGCCATATTGTCAATATTGACCCTGCAAAAAAGACAGCCACAACCAACCACAGGTGTGTGGAGTCCATGTACTTTCAAACTGACCGGTAACTCGAGCTCTGCAGGATCTGCTTCATAGTCAGCTTCCCCCAACATACGACATATGTATCATATGGGTGTGTCTCAACTTGAGACAACCAAAAAAATGGTCAAACCAAGACACACCCAGACTTGGTGCTAAATAAGCGATTGCCAAATAATAATAATAATAATAATAATAATAATAATAAATAATAATAATAATAGTGTGTGTGTGCGTGTCCCGATTCTGGCAACAATTCAGCCCTCATATATTTGAAGGAGACCAAAGCTATGATCCCAACCGATGACCCCATGGCCCCCAATCATTGCCAGGCCGCCGCCTGTCCGTCCGTCAGCTGAAAAGTCACCTGGAAGGCTTGATGGTTTGGATTGGTTGGGCTGCTTAAAGGAAAATTTGGATACTTGCATGGAACCCACCAGATGGCCATGGAACCCACCAACTGGCCATGGAACCCACCAACTGGCCATGGAACCAGACCGACCCTTTCAGAGAAAAGTGTTCCATGTGTCCCGGTTCCCTTCCAACTCCATACCTTTTAGTTCATGGGCGCTAAAAACTCAGCTGCCCAAAAAAAACATTTCTTTTTGTTTTTGTTTATCTCTCTCTGTCTCTGGCTTGGTGGTTTGCAGGGGGGCGGAAACCCCGGTTGACCCTCTACAACAGAGGTTCAAACCACCAAGCCATCCAAACCAATTGAGCTTGCCTAAGATCGCCCTTCGCAAAACGAACCAAAGGATGTCCCAGTTTCAGAAATGCATGTGACTGGCTTTTGGTTTGGGGTGAAGGCTCGGCTTGCTTGCTTCGTTCTTGGCCAGGTGATGGGCTCCTCTTGGTACGGACCTGCAATCCCCCCCCCCCCCCCGCCCCGCAGAAAAAGGGCGCTCAAGGATTCTGCGCGCCTCGAGGCCCAAGCTGAATGGTCTCCCACATAAGACAGGGGGACAATTGGGCAACACTTAAGGCTTGAGGCCTGCCCTCCCTTCCAACACTTCGCACCTGCGGCAGGCTACCTGGAACATCAGTTTCCTCTGGTGGAAAAACAACCTGTCAGGTGCCATGGCAGCGTAGTGAGGCCTAGTTGGCAGGCCCATTCACAAGGGAGACTCCTGCCTGGCCGACTGCCGGAGTCAGGCTGAAGAAGAAACTGACCAGCCATCTCCGGTTGGTTGGGCACCCCGCTGGCCACACCCAAATTGGGTAGGTAACAGCATGTCTCTGTATTGGTACGGAACACCTTTTTGCGGAAAGACAAAGGGAAACCCAAGATCAGCTTCAGCTTGGTGCCAGCGTCACATATTTCACGACACACAAATCCAACTTCATTCAGGGGCTTCAGTTTTAGATTGTCCCAAGGTAGACTTTAACAATCTTAAGCTCAAATGCAGAGTGGCCATGGCAAAAAGGGCATCCTTCTTCGGTTGGTTGAGTTTAAAGGGAAACCCTCCCCCCCCCCCAAAAAAAAAAAGGGGCGCCACTGGGCAACTTGGGTAAACCCAATTCCTTGCCGCAAGTGGTGCGCCCCCCGTCGAAAATGGCACCTCCGCCCCCCCCCCCCCCATCCATTCGCCTGGTGCCGGTTGTGGCCCAAGAGGCGCAGCCAAGCGGGCTGCTCGTCGAAGCCCAAGGTGTCTGCCAGGGTGCTGGTCTGCTGATGGTGCAGCCTCCACGGGTGACAAGGGGGGGGGGGGGGGAAGGGAGAAAATGGGAGGGGATGTTTTGTGTCTTTCTTTTTTATTGGAGAGGGAGGACAGGGTGGACATTGACCGCAACTCAAACTGTGCATGTTCACAAGGGGGTTGTAAGGGGGAGCTTCCTCCCCTGCAAGTTGCCGGCGGGGCAAGGATGCAAGATGACACAAGATGGCACCACACGTGCTGTCCTCAGATCCCCTGCTACAAACTTGACTTTTAGTGGTTACTATAAAACCATATAAAACCCAAAAAGGCAAAACAAAAACAACAACAACTAAGTGGATGGCTGGGAACCACCAAAAATTGGCTTGCCCATTGGCCGCGCTAAGCCGGCGTCATGTTTCTCCGAGCCGCCCTTCAAAGGCCACATAGATGATGATCCACACCTCTGCCAAAACCGAGCTCGCTCGGTTTTGAAAGCGCGCGGCAAAAACGCCGTCGGCTGGGGCTCCGTGGGTTGAAGTCCCAACTTGCCTAGGTCCTCCAGATTTGAGAGCTTAGAATAAGGGTGCCCGATTCTTTTCTGCAGTCTAGTTTAGTAGGGGAACCCTCCCCCAAAAAAGGGTAAAAGGGTACTACTGGAGCACCTAGTTGCTGTTGAAAACTTCTGCTCGAACATGGGTATCCAAATTGAGGGGAGCCCAAAATGGGCGGCCTTCCTTTTGATTTCTTCTGAAACCCGCCACATCAATCTGTCTGTCCAAACAGGCGCACTGTGGCTGAAGGCATTTCCCGAAGCTGAGCATGTCACCCAACCGCGGTCAAACGTTCCTTTTTTACTTCCCCCTTGCACAATAACATTGCAACTAAAAATGGGATACCCCAAAAACAAGGTCCCTTGCAAAAAGACGGATCTTTTGGGTTCTATGTAAATTATTTATCCAGGTCATGTTAGCTTGCGCGATGAGTACTCTGGTCAAGCGCTCAGGGCTGTCAGCTGGTGCTGCTGCTCGTGCTGCTGCTGGTGCTGGCGGTCAAGAACCAACACAAACTAAATATCGGCGTGCAAACGCAGTGGACACTTGTATCGCCTCGTTGCCTGCCCGGGTAGCCCCATATGCAGCATACAATCACACAATCACGCCCACACACACACACACAAAAAGACACACGCACGCGCAATCACACGATGACACATGTCATACACATTCACACAACCACACGAGCATGCGCACACACACACACACACGCGCAAACGCAACAACTCATGATCGCAAGCAAGCATGCAAGACCATAAGCAGACACACACACACACAAAGACGCCAACACCCATGAACAACACACAAACCAATACACAAACAACCAAACAAACAAACGAACGAACGAAAAAACAAACAAACAAACAAACAAACAAACAAACAAACAAACAAACAAACAAACAAACACACAAACAAACAAACAAAACACAACACAACAAAACAAAACAAAACAAAACCAACAAACACACAAACAAACAAACAAACAAACAAGCAAACAAACAAATCAACAAACAAACAAACCAACAAACAAACAAATATCCAAACAAACAAGCAAACAAACAACAACACAACACAACACAACACAACACAACACAACACAACACAACACAACAGAACAGAACAGAACAGAACAGAACAGAACAGAACACAACACAACACAACGAACAACCAAACAAACAAGCAAGCAACAAAAACAACCACAAATAAAACCAAACGCGACAAACCGACAAACAAAGAAACAAAGAAACAAACAAACAAACAAACAAGCAAACAAGCAAACAAGCAAACAAAGAAAAAACACAAAATAACTAACAAACACACAAAGAAACAACGACACAATCAAACAATCAATCAAACAAACAAACAAATGCAAGACCGGATATGCACAGGCGCATGCCAACACGCACACAAACACACACACACACACACACCAAACAAACACGTGCGATCTTTTGCCAGGTTCCATCAGAAAGTTCGGCTTTCAGCCAAACCTGCGCCCTGAGCGGCGGACAAGACTGGTGACCCAGGCCACGATGAGGACCAAGCTTCCGAGAAGAACCTACACAGCCCGCGGGGTGACGACAGCTTTCCGGAAGGATTCAGTCAGCTATGGCAACGTGAAGCTGGCAAAGGGCTGCTGTAGGAGAATAACTTTCCCAAGGGCCTCCAGTAGCTTCCATGGAGAAACTCAATGTGCTTCTCTTACTCTGTTTTTTCACAATCCATATATGCATCCGTGCATGTGCATATGTATATATATATATATTGTTGTATGCATGTATGGATGTATGCATGTATGCATGTATGCATGTCTGCACGTATGCATGTATGCACGTATGCACGTATGTTCGTATGCACGTATGCACGTATGTTCGTATGTATCTTTGTAAACCCATTTGTATGTACATATTTACTAAGGGCATCAACATGTCCCCCTGCTCGGAGTTGCATTCGATCACCACCCCAATCAAGTTGGCCTTTCAAAAGCAGCGACGTCTCAGTTAAAGAGGACATATATTTGTATGTCTCTCCCCTCTTGGGGGGGGGAGTTTGTAAAGATAAATCATGGGAACCCCTCTCCGGAGCTCCCCTGTGCAATAAGGGCCAAGATAAACAGAATGTCTGGGGCAACCCGAAACCAAATTAAGTCATGACCATGGGGACATAATGAGGGTATAATATTTTTTCATGGGGAACCCTTTGATGGACACCCATGTAGATTGGGACTCATGCCCCCCAACCACTTTTGTTCCCTATTGATGGGCATGCTAGAATTTGTTCAGCCCCTACCCCCATCCATTTGCTTCAGCGCCCTGAGCCAAATGAACATGTTTCCAGTAGTGATTGATTCCCTTTAAAGCCACCAAGGAAACTAACAATAGCCCACATATGCCCACATGGTATCGCCAACAGCGCCAGAACCCCCCATGTAGAACCCTTCGAAACTCCCTGAAAGCTGCCCCAAACCACCCCAGAGCTGATCTGAGCATTTCGACCCGATACCTTTCAGCTGCGGAAGCCAAATCACAACTTGGGATTCATGAATCACGTGGTTTGCCTGAAGTTCACAGAACTACCAAAAAAATAGAAAAATAATAACAATTAACAAAAAAAAAGAGAAGAAAAAAAAAAAACAAAAAAAACGGAAACACAGCATCATCCAGGCTTGGTTCCAGAGCCGGAGAGCCCTAACTTATTGCCACCCCCCCAAAGGAAGACCCCCAACGAAAAAAAGAAAAAACAAAAATCAGCAAGAAGCCCCTCAATAGAAAAGGATGGGCTCCAATGGTTGACCCATTTCAACCAGTGGAGAGCCCAGCGATTTCTCTGCAAACTCACCGATGAACAGGACACTTGGCACCTAAAAAAAACCCATGGAGAGCCATTGCTTCTTGGGTCATTCGGGAAAAAACCTATCTGCAAATGTTCTTCCAAAAGCTGAAGGAAGGGGATTTTCAAGGGACGTCCTCATGGCTCTCGCGCGGTTTCAACCCGAATCCGAAAATCCGTGGGCTCGCGCTCGAATCGACAGATCTATGCTCTAGGCCCTCCAGTAGAAAGGTTAGAATCGGGGTACCGGGGAACCCTCCCCCAAAAAAAGAAATTGTAACAGGGCACTGGGGGACCTAGTTTGCTCTCAACCTTTTATGCGGGGACCTGTGAACTTCGCGTTTTGCTTTTAGGTTTTCTCGGCAAAGATGGCACCCTTGGTTCTTACCCCTTAAAACTCCAAGCCCTGGGGGAGTTCTCATCTTTTACAGACCTTTTAGCCCATGTTACCCTCAAAAAGTTGAGAACAGTGTTGTGTTTTTTTAAAGAGGTAAGGGGTTCTCACCTGTTAACTTCGCGTTTTGTGTTGTTTTTCTCGGCAAAGATGGTACCATTTGGTTTTGACCCACAGCCAAAGAGGCAGATCTCTGCCCCCCCCCCGGCCCGAGACTTCGAAGCTTCGAGGCGCCGTGCGCCAGGGCAGCTTCCCCGGCTTCCAGCGGCTCCGCTGCTCCCGCCGCCGCTCCTGCAAAGGAGGGGGGTTCGCCCTAAGGCAGGCGCTCCTCCCCAAAAAAGAGAGAACAGGAGCTTCCGCCCCAAAAAAAGGGGGTTCCCCCAAAAAACGATGCAGATGCTAGCTGGTTGAGTGACAGGCTTGACCAAGGATGCTGATGATGCGAGGGATGCCAATGATGATGGCCTGATCAATGATGCCACAGATACTGATGATGCGAATGATGCCAACGATGAAGGCCTGATCAAGCATGCTATTGCTGCACGCAAAGCTATCAGTGGAATACCTGGTCAGAGCACTAATTATTCACCCAGGATGTGGTTTGAAAACTTGGGTTGCTCATTGATTTCGAAAATGCCAAGATTCACGCTGAACCCGCCAAGATTCATTGAGTCGACGGATCTCCCCGCTTGATGTTTTGCGCAAAGGGTGCAGGCTTGTCAGGATAACTTTCTTCCTTTAGCCCGTTGTGGGTTTCACAGTAGTTTAACTCTCACAGTCACCTAGGAAAAAGGGAGCCAACCCGCCAACCCCAGCTTTTGACTTTAGTTGAAACCATTTTTGGGTGGCCGGTTTTTTGCGCCCCTCCAAAAGTTGAAGACATGCGGAAGTTCAACCCGCTGGATGGCCTAAGAGGGCCTCAGATTTCGGGTCCTCAGCCTGCTGCTCGGCCTCTTCAGGCGCTTGCCCGCCCTGGATTCGAGCGAGTGGGCTCGCGCAAGAGCACGCAGCGGGGGTTGAGGGGTTGGGGGGTTGGGGGGTTGAGGGGTTGAGGGGTTGGGGGGTTGGGGGGTTGGGGGGTTTGGGGTTTGGCGCCTTGATAAGGCTTCTTTGGGGCTGATTTGGGCTCCCCGCCCATATGAGAAGCCCCCCAAAAACTTGAGAAACATAAATCAAAGTCTCACGCAAATGAGAGGAGAGCAAAATTGGAAGGAAGAACTCTGTGGACGGTTTTTTCAAGCCCGGTGGCTTGGAGACCGTGTTCCGGGGTGGTGCCCGCCGCCCCGATTTTAGCCAAAAGGGGGCAAGGGTGCAAAGCCCCAAGTCACCCAAACCACTAACCATGGTTTACCTTCAAGAAGCTGGGGAAACCTACGGTGGATGGTTGCGAACTCCAGCTCGCACCACTTTCCAGAAACCGTGGTGTTGGTTTCCAACCAGAACTTTCGGACCCCTACTGCAGGAGGAGAAACATGAGGAGCCCCCAGAAAACCAAACCTGAAATTCACTCTTTGGCTGGTAAGAGGAAAACAGCAATTCGACGTCTAAAAGGGCCTCATCGATTCTGCCCACCAGAAGCCACTATCCAGGACCCAGCCTCCTCCGGGTGAAAGGTCAAGTCCATGGTCTGATTTGACTGCACCGTCGGCAGTCGAGGGGCCTGCGCTTTGCAAACGCGAACGTGCCGTAGCGCGACGGGTCCCAAGCTGCGATTTGTGGAAACTCAACGGCTGAAAGCTATGGGGTCGACAAGCAGATACGCTCTGGTGTGGTTTGGAGCAGCTTTGAGAGGGTTCCGGAACCCAGCCAACCGCACGACCCGCTCCTCCTCAGTGGGAAATTCTGAGGTCGTGCGTGCACTGCGCGCTGCAAAATCACCTTGGGGCAGCAGCCGTACCCAGAAAATTACGGCCAAATTTGGAAAAACTGGTTTGTTGACACACACACACACAAACAAGGCGGGTTTTTGAAGTACCTTCTATGCTTGCCAAGGGCCGATTCCCCACTCGGGCCTTGTCCCAATCCCCAATACATGAAGCGATTTCAGCGACGAATGCCGTTTTTGTCGGTTGTCTTTGGGTGTCTTCTTTGAACCCCCGGACCACCATGGGAGAAGTGGGTAGCAGGTTAGCAACTTTTCAGATCTTCTCGGTGAAGCGATCACCTCACACATGAAGCCATCAACTGAGGCTGACCCTAGGCTGTAGCCTTCACGAGTTTAACCTCCGCCTTGGCCACACATCCAACAACCAGCAAAATGAAAGACAAAGGGGCAGTTGCAGGACGGGCAGCTCTTTGAACGACCAAACTTGGTGGAAGGATTCCCCCCAAAATTTGGCTTGGTGTCCCTTTGGTTCCCCCCATAAACCAGCATGAAAAGGGTACCCTCAAACAACGCACAAGCCTGGACAGTGCATCGAAATGAAGAAATCTGAGGTATTCTGTCCACAGCTCCATCAAATTTTAAAACCACATGGGAAGTCTCTGAGTCTTGAGATTGAAGTTAGACCTTCAAGGTCTCCCAACGACAGACCCGTTGCGGGTGCTCAAGGCTTGGATATGCCCAAATCCCATGAGCTTAGCCATCTGGGCTTGCCACATATTTCGAGGGAATGATCTTGCACATCAGGCACGTACAGCGCACTCTAGCAACTTGTTGGCTGAAGCAGGCCGCACAATTCACACAGTACGTGCTGATGGCAGAAACCTTCATTGCATTTCCGCGAATACCAAAATACCCGTCCCCTTCCGGGTTCCCTTTGCACCCATGGAATCCTCAGAGAGTTTTCGAGGTCACTTAGAAGCCTTCGCGTGCCCTGCCAGCATGTCAGAACCATGTGCTGGTTGGAATCCTGCTATGACATCCTTTTGGTGGTCAGTAAATAGTTTCAGGGCCGAGTTGCGCAAAGAAAAGGTGCCCAACCCTCTTCCAAACGGAACGACCCCTGCCAAATACCCATACACCATACAATCCAAGGCGCAATGCCTTCTTAGGAGGCTTACCTGCTCGGCAAGCCTGGCAAATTGCAGCGCTGTCACCCTTTGGTCTTGTTTGTCAAGATGAATGAACCCTACCAAAACACTAGCATCCTTGCGAGAACCCTTTGACATGCGCGAGCCGTCCCTTGTGTTTGACACCTCAAAAAGGGGTGCCCTCAAAACATACGCGCCATCTGGTTTCTCAAAGAATTGGTCTCCTGTGGTTTGGCATAGCTCGTTCTGGCCAGTCTTTTGGTAGACATGTGTCTTCTTCTTCGGTATCATGGTACGGTACGTGAAGAATTCTCCAACTTGTTCCTTTCTATATGCTTAGACCATTCCCGGGTGCCAAACACTGGAAGAATGAAAGGTGTGGCTCTGTCTTTAAGGTGGGCCTCGCCTGGACTCACCGGAGTACGCAACGATCTGGTCTCACAGGAGCCCTCACTCACTCAAAGTACTGCGCCTGCCACGTAATCCAGCTCCACAACCGTGCTCTTGCTGATCGCTTCGCGGCGCAGTTTTTGGAGTGACCAGGTCTCGCAGGACACTCACAGTACTGACCCTGCCACGTAATCCAGCTGCGCGGGCCCTGGTTTCCTTGCGGGGGGGTTCGGGGGGGTCGGGGTGTCAGTGACGTTCGCGCAGTGCGTGGTTCTCGCACGTTCCGCAGGCGGGGGGGTGGGGGGGATGCGGGTCGGGTGGGGTCAAGCGTCCTGGTTACGCATGCTCCCAATTCTGCGTGCCCTGGCTTGCTTGCGGTAAGGGAGATCCACTCCTATGCGACTCCCGCTTGCTGCATGGTCGTTGTACTATGCTACAGCAGAAAAAGTGAAACCAGCTTGCTGTGTTGTGGTATGGACTTGTTGTAAGACTCCTTGCAGCGCGCGCAGCTCCCCAAACTCATTGGCTCTGTGGCCAGTTCACACGGGGGAGAAACATAAGGCGCAGACAACTAGATTCTACAATCACGCCTCGCTGAACCCCTCAAGGATCAGGTGGTAAGCCATGAATGCCCGGCTTGATTTTGAGGGTTCTGATCGAACTCATGCGTTTGCAGTTTTACATAGGTCCGAGTCACCAAGCAAGGAGCGCCGAGAGGCCTCTGAACAAGGGGTTCTGGATCCGAATTCAGGAGTGTGTTTCTACAGCGGTGACATTGTGGTTGGTTGAGCTGCAGGCCTCTCGTGGTCTGTGCGCAGGCTGAAGAGGTCTATCACTCGCGCGCTGGCAGGAGGATCCTGCGGTTTCCGTTCCCGACAGATTCACAGGGGTCCCACAGCCGATTTCCAGAATCACACATTTGAGTTGTTCAAAAACTCAGGGACCCCGAACCCTAGAAACCCTCATTTTTGTTGGCCTTGGTTGTTCAAAATGAGGAGATATAATCCGAATCTGTAAATTCTGCGGTGGGGCATAAGTGCAACAAGGGAAATCACGACCTTTTGGCATGCGCAACTCAGGATTAACAATCCAGTTGGTGCCCAGCTTCAACCATGGCCAGCAGGGAATCCGCGAAAAAAGGGAAGGAATGTTTACTTTGAAGGCACCCTGCAAAGAAAAGGTTCTGGTTTCCCTTAAACAACTCCAAAAGACGGCACCCTCCAAAGAAAAGGTTCTGGCTTCCCGTAAACAACTCCAAAAAACGGCACCCTCCAAAGATTAGGTTCTGGTTTCCCTTAAACAACTCAAAAAAACGGCACCGGTTCAGGTGTCCCTTAAACTCCAAAAAAACGGCACCCTCTTCTGGTTTCCCTTAAACATATCCATACAACGTCACCCTCCAAAGAAAAGGTTCTGGCTTCACGTAAAAAACTACAAAAAACGGCACCCTGCAATCAAAAGGTTCTGGTTTCCCTTAAACAACTCTAAAAAACGGCACCCTCCAAAGAAAAGGTTCTGGTTTCCCTCAAGCTCCAAGAAAAAGGCACCCTCTTCTGGTGTCCCTTAAACATATCCAGGCAACGGCACCCTCCAAAGAAAAGGTTCTGGCTTCCCGTAAAAAACTCCAAAAAACGGCACCCTGCAATCAAAAGGTTCTGGTTTCCCTTAAACAAGTCCAACAAACGGCACCCTCCAAAGCAAATTCGGCACCCTCCAAAGAAAAGGTTCTGGTTTCCCTTAAACAACTCCAAAAAAACGGCACCCTCCAAAGAAAAGGTTCTGGTTTCCCCTAAACAACTCAAAAAACGGCACCGCTGGAGATCTGGCTTCCTTGTGGGTGGTATTTGGTGAATCGGACCTTAGGGCTACCTTCCCCATTTGGTCTGAAAAGGGGTTCAAATCCCCAAGCCACGAAGCAACATCCTGACCGGACCTTAAACCAGAAGTAACCCGTTTCAGAATCAACCACCTAAGCCTGCTAGCCATGTAGTTAGAACACTGAAGCATGCTTGACAGCCAAGTAAAAGTAGCAACGCAGCAAACGGCCGCGTGCGTTTCGCACAGCAAGGTTGGCATGCATTACAGCATTTTGCGTTCTACCTCACTTGTGTTGTAAGCACCGTTGTTGCGAGCACTGTGCTCCGGCTCGAGTTTCAGTGGTTGAAAATGTCAGGCTTCAGGTTAGGGGAGCTCAGGCTTTGTGGAGGGATTACTCCCCATGGAAAGGCAATCATCTGCTGTACTAAGTTTGTCGAGCGCATCTGAGGTCAAACCACCTCACCAAGAAGATTCCTTCATAGAGGGTGCCTGGCCTCAAGTTAGTAAAATCTTCCCCTTGGTCTTGAATTTGTGGCTTAGGTTGGTGGCGATGTGATTTGACCCCCTGTTCGAACCTGAATAACTCGTGCAGTCTTGTCGTTTCTCCTCGGGCACCCTTTCAAAGCCCAGTCCTCGCACATGGTCTTATCGTCCTCGCAGTGGTGGAAGAGTTGCATCATGCGGCCGCCGCCTGTAGCAAAGCTTCTATCAACAATTCACATCCCTGGGTGTTTTCAAAAACTTTGGTTGGTTAGCAGAAACTTCGTGATTTGTGCAGCCCGCAACAACGATCCCTGCCTGAGTCTTAAATGGATGCCCCAATGAATTCCATACTATTTGTTAACCACCGCAATGCCGCCCCTGGAGCCTCTACCCACAACCAGGGACAATGAGTGGAACTGCCTCAAACTCGGCCACCCTTCCAACCAGGATTTGCCCGTCGACCTGTTGCTGGAAAAATCAAGAGGCTCCATGTGCAGCCCTGTTGCGCTTTGCGCTTTGAGCGCGGCGTCAAACGGCACGCCAAGGAACGAACATGCGCGAGCTTGTAAGAGGGAGAGAGGCAAAAGACGAGAGGGAGCACGAGAGAGAAAAAGAGGGAGAGAGGGAAAGCGGAAGAGAGGGAGTAAGCAACCCTAGCCTACTGCGAATCATATAAAGGAAGTCGTGTGATGCTTGAGTACCGGCATATCTTCCTTGTGCCAAGGGGAAAACGTGTGGATAGAAGTCTTCATTGAGGCCAACCTCTACAAGACGGGTGCATGTGGAAGGATGCAGGGTTTCATGCCCAGGCTAGACTCCAATTCGCGTCCAAACAGATTTGACCCATCCTCTTTTTGCGTTCCACCTGGGGTGAATCAAACAGTACCCGCTATTGAGCATCCATCCTAGCTTGGGGAATCAAACAACTCATAGAAACCAGCTACTGGAATGCACAAATACCCACAAACAAACAAATACTGCCAAACAACAACTAATACCCACAAACCAGCTGGAATGAACATTTTTGCCAAATACCCACCAAACAAACAAACTTCTTTGCAGAGGAGAACTTTCTGTAGGTTTGTTCAGGGGCCCACCGCTCCTATCGGAGCCCCATGCACTCCAAGGCGCGCTCGATCTCCAGCCGCAGCCAGACGGTCTCTGACTCCTGGCGGTTCCGAGTTCGGAAGCCTCGGGTGAGCTTCCGATTTCGGCAGGCACGAGCCATTTTCTTTTGCACACGTGGCTCTACGTGCCATTTTCCTGGAATCTCCAAAAGCAGCGATCGTTTCAAGAAACGAAAAGTGAACTGCTGACACTTTTGAAGGAACATCCAGTGACCCTCCTGTGGATATCATAAGCCACCAGCTGGGCTGGAACGAAAGGAATCCCTAAGGCTGTTGTTTTCCCCCAGAAACGGATGGGACGTGCCTTGTAGATTCGTCCTGAACAGCGGCACGGGGTCGAATCGCCGATCCTGGGTTTTCCGGCGGTTCTGGGTTGTTTCAGGGTCAAACGAACCTTCACTTCTTAAAGGAAAATCACCGCAACATGGATGACTTATTAATTTAAGCACCCCACTTTGCACTCCAAAGAGCGCATCTTGTTGCGAGGCCTTTTGTGTGCTAAAGGGACTCGGTCGTTTTGAGGGTTCAACTAGCTTGCGAAATAACAGGGAGCCGTGGAACGCGCTCAGCTGCACTAAGCGAAGTCAACGGGGCGATCATCATGTAGGTCTTGCAACATGTTTTCAACAAAAACAGCTCCATAAAAGGAAGCTTCAACATGGGTGAGTTCGGAAACCCCGTTGTTTGGAATGATAGTCTTTCTTCTCCAGAATCCTAATGAAGACCCCCTGCAAACAGTTGCCCGTTTTTGCGGGTTGAAAAGGAACAACGAAGGAAACTCAGAACTCAGTTGCAAAAGGCCTGGAAATACAAGTTTGGGACCAACTCAGAGAAAGGCGACACTTCAATAGGCCAGCCTTTGGCATGGGCATGGCCATGAAAAGGCTTTTTGTTTTCTATTTCTCTCTCTCTCTCTCTCTCTCTTTTTTCCTCTCCCTGGCGTCCAAAAGGTCCCGCCCCGTGAGGCAACGCATACCACGGGGAACTTTTTTGAGGGACCCGCCCCCGACCCACCTCCGCGGGTCTGTTCGCCATGAAGGCGGTGGGGTCCTTCGCCTCCGACACCCGTCGGATGCGCTTCGTTCGATGAGAAGCCCCGGCAGAGGCTACCCCCAAGCAAAACAAACACGCGGGCTGTTACTTCCCCCCCCCCCTCCCGCCAAAAAAAACAAAAACAGAATGAATGCCAATGGGAAGCTTGAAGCTATGCTTCTTGGGTCCAGGAGCGAAACAAAGGCGCAAACGTCGATGAGTTTGTTTCTTAGCTCGAGTTGCAAGAAGCCAGGTGTGCACGAACAGTTGGTTCCGGAAAAAAAAAAAACTATTGAAAGGGAAGCCGAAGCAACGCAGGAGGCTTCAACAATCATGGACATGACATTGAGCTGTCTGGAGTCCCGAACCCATCTGAGTGAGGGCGTGAGGGCTTTCTAAAGTCTTGCGAGAGCGTCAGGATGTAGAAATAGAAGGTTACCCTGTTGTAACGTTTACTCAATACGTACCAAATCAGGGAAACCATAAGGCTAAAAGGCCTTTGTTGGGCAAGTGAGTTGAAAAGAACAGGTTGCTTTTGACTGCGTCCAAGGCCGGTCATGTCAGGTAGTGTGTCATGTTTTGTGGCGCACTGATAAAACAATGGATTTTCTTTTAGGTTCCCTTCAAAACTGCCATTTTGAGGGGTCCCCAAGCCCAATCTGCCTGGGGCGGAAAAGAAACACCCATTTGCTTGGGGCGGCTTCTACGGGCATGCGTCGCCTCCACTTCATCCAGCTGGGTGGAGATGCGCTGAAACTGCCGCCGCAAACGCCTCGCAAAGCACGGCTTTCTGGGCTCGGGTCAGGGCTAAGGCTCAACTTGGGCCTGGAATCAAATGTGTGCAACCTCAATGGGTAAGGAGGGGGTTGTGACCAAGGCTTAATTGCCAGTTGATCTTTTGCTTAAGGCGACACAAGTACCAAATGTGCAGAACTGTTTTAGTCCTTTTTCCGGGGGTTAAACCTAGTGATCCCGGCGACTCCCGGGATAACAATTACTAAGCTGTGAAAAGGCGATGGAGCACTGGTGCCAAAGAAATCGGGGCCCTCTGCAGACAACGCTTGGCGTTCCTCGGCAGCACGAGGAACAAACCCGTAACAAAACCCCTATGTACTGGCTGCATGTCCCATTGCAGCTATGGGGCAGTGGTTGGTGGACAGTAGTGGGAATCTTGGGGGGAAAACGACAAGATGGTGTCCACTACCCCGAAACCATTGCCCGCAGGCGGAGGCTGTGTACAAACGCTGTTTGTAGTGGCTAGGGGTTACATACCCTTTGTCACTTTAGGGTAGTGGGTTGGAGGTGGGGACCATCCTTGGGGTTCAAACCACCATTAAATTAAAGGGTGTAGGAAAAAACTACTGGGCGTGAAAATGGACTCTTAACTTGTCCCACTTGCATTCCCCTTACATACCCCATATATACATGTATAGGCAATATAGAAAGCCTGGCTACACACGATGGGCAAAGCTGAGACTCACAGTATTGCCTATACAAGGGGTATATAACCGATATGCAAGTGGGACAATTTAAGGGTCCATTTAGATTTTGCCTAGATTTCAAATGGGCTATCAAAGGAGGTTAATATAACCACCATTGTTTAACTGTCAGGAAACTCCTCATCCAAATTGGGTAACTTGCCATTCATTCAACGGACTTCGGTGGTAATCTAGGGCATTTAAAAGTGGTTAGATGTTACCCCTTTTTCCACTTGGGGGTGGTTTGGGGGTGGCTTCCACAGATTTGGCTATCAAAGCCAGAAACTGGAAAACCAAATCCAAACTTTCGCACCACCAACTATTTTCACTATGCTGGCTTCCCCATCTTTCGTCTTTGGCACTATCAGAAGTCAGACACTGGAGAGAAAAAAGCACACTCCCAGCTCTCGCCCAGACATCCCCGTCGGGCGGGCGAGGCGGCGCCGGCGCCTGAGAAGCTCCTTGGCCTCCTCGTCCAACATCGCCTGCGAGGTCTGCGACTCGAAGCGCTCCAGGTCCTGCGGCGCCGCAAAGGAAACGAGACGCGGGGAGCGCGCCGGGGAGCGGCTCTGGTTCGGATTTGGCGTCTGAGGGCTTCAAGGGGCAACCAAGAGGCAAAACCTACAGTTTGATGGGACTTACTTATTTGCATTGTTTTTTGTTTGGGTGTTTGCTGCGCTATAAAGTGCATAAGCGGCTCCCTGATCTCAGGGATAGTTTGCTGCCTGTTCATGCTGGGCCTTTCTTGGAATCGCAGGCAACAACCATCAAAGCACCCATTGGCACCCTTGCTGACCGACTCTAGAACACATACAATCAAATACACCCCTCCTCACTCCTCAGTCCAAGCCGCACAGACCAAACTTCACTTGACCACCCCCATCATTGCCTACCTCGGAACCTCCCCGCAACCCTCTGGGATGGCGACAGCCAGAAGTTCTCGCTGAAAAACCAACTACGGCATGGCATCTCCCGCAATTTTTCACATGGAACCCAAAAGCCGGCACCCCCAATGAAGATTCGGAACTAAAACTGATGGCATACTGATGGCTTTCTAGGTTTCATGTGAATGTGTGAGGGGCGGGGTTCTCAAACGGGACACCTTGTTGGATGGTAAGGCTCCTGGTAAGGGGAACCAAAAGGAACCCAGCTACCTGGAGGGGTCCCCACTATTGAGAAAGACTCATTTTCACATGTAGGGGAGTAGCATGGGAATAGCGCCTGTTCCAACAACCTGCGATTTTCTTAGGCAACCCCGCAGCATGCGCGTGCGGCATGCGCAACATGCGCGAGCGAGCCCCATCCCACGGTCCCCATTCAGCTGTGCCCGAAGCTTGCAGCAAATGGGCGCCACCATCTGCAGCACATCTTCAGGCCTCAGCTGGGACCGGCGTCATTCGAGAGAGACCGCGACCATGGTCATACTGTGGATGGTTGCGAAATCCATTTCGCACCACCTAAGAAACCCTGGAATGATAATTCCCTGATAAATACCAACAAACAGCAAAGTGGTGCACGGTTTCGTTCATCCACAGCAGTGGTTGGACCCTGGTGCACTTCTGCCCGGGTCACAGAATTGGATTGCTCGGGACCCGTGCAAAGTCGATAACCTTGCTTGAAACTTTTAAACACTCCCCTTGGGTGTCTCAAGAATATGGGGGTGTCGTTTGGAGGGTGCCCTTTGTGTGTGTGCTGTGCGCGGGCAAAAGCGGCATCACCCAGGGTGAGCTGGATCATTAATGGGCAAGTGCCAAACAACACTTCGATACATCCCCAGCAAGGGACCCCCAACAAGGGTAGGGAAGGGACCCCCAACAAGGCAGTTTTGGTCCCCCCCCTTCAAACCACCGAAAAGTGGGTGCCCAAAAATCCTACCATGTCAAAACCTGACTTCAAGGAACCTCAAGTAAATCACCAGTGGCATAGGTCTCCTTTTGGGAAAACAAATCACCCTACTAAACGGAATGAAACTGACCTAAAAAGGACAGGTGTTTTCCCTCGCCTCCGTCAATTGGAGCTTCAAACCCGTTTCGGCCAATGCCACGTCTAGGCGCAAGCCGTCTTGGCCTTCAGGGAGTTCCTCTCCTTCGCCTCGGGAGGGGTCAGTGGCCGTGGAACCAAACGACTTCAGCGCCCGAAGCACGTTTGGTTTTACCAATGCAGTCAAACCCGTATTTCCTATTTTGTAGGCTTAAGACCCTGATTCAAACAGGTAGCAGAACCACTATACCCAAAATTGCCAACAAGGGTCCACGGTCGGCGCTGCTCACTTGGAAAATGGAATGAGCTCAGAAGCTTGGCGTTTGGGACACCCAGGGCTATCAAAACCAACCGCGTGTAAGAGCCCAACAGACTTAAACACAACTCAGGGGTCCCTGAGGAACCCAGGTACCCCCCAACAACCAACCTCAGGGGCCCTTGAACATCCCTCAATGAAGGTTTCAGGACTGTTTCTTGATCCTTGCTGTTTGCTGGCGGGGTAGGGTGTTGCATGGATTCCTCACCTGGGGGTTCTACACCACAGTCTTGGTTGCAGCTGAGGGCATGCTCGAAATGTTCAAGCTGACAGTTCCACACTCCCGCAACCTGTCCCATTCCCGTGGAGTCTAAAGGAAAAAGCCATTCCCTTAAAACTTATTTGCCAGCGTCGGATGTATTCGGGGGTGGGACCCCAAACGTGACACTGTGGCACCACATCCAAACCACGGGAATTCCTTGTTTGCTGGCATGTACAGGGAAATCCTCGTTTTAGGGCTTCTTAGGTGGTGCGAAATGGATTTCGTCTGTCCAGAGTACTAAGTGAACACATAGGCAACACCGGAGTCTGAAGCCCAAAGGGCCGTGGATAGTCAACCTGAAAGTGACTGCATTGTGAGTCTTCTTTCTCAAACTTGTTGCTTTGGGTTCCTCTTTAATTAAATGTTTCGAGGGATGCATCACATGCCACGCTCAAAATCTAACCTAGCCCAGGCACCCAAGAACCACTTCCAATGGCGCAGGGGAATGGGTTGTCAAACTTCGTCCGCCTTTTCTGGGCTGCCCGTTTTCTGATCCGGTAACATTGAATAACTTTTCGTGGGTTGAAGGGAAACTACCACTCACTAAAAGGCCAAAAAGCTAAGTTGAACCAGATGACTGGGAGCCAAGTTGTTGGTCTCCCCTTTAAATGCCGGCTGGAAATATTATCCACAGAACCATGGCGGAACCACGAGGGCACCCACCAGGTGATCACCAAAACCGGGGGGAATCACCCCATCTACTTTATTTCGCCCAACTGTAACTTGGGCATTGTTTTTTGAGGGTACATGTGTGGCCGTTTCAAAGGGACATCAAAAGAAACTAGTTGCTTATTTAGCATCATTTAGTTTATTTGCTTTATATATTATAAGGTTTTTATGTGAGGGGGGGGTCCGCTAAGAAAGACACACCCATACCGTAGAATACCAACCAACGTTATGGTTTCAACCGTGGTTTCTTAGAAATGGATTTCGCAACCAGCCACAGTATCATGCCTGGGTTGCGCAAAGGAATGCCACCACAACGCCCAAGGGAATACAGCCACAAGAAAATTCACTCTTACTTTATGTATTCACTCTTATCTTATGTTAAACAACAAACAATGGGGGGGAGGAAAACCATCAATTTGGGGCGGCGGTCGTCCCCTAAAAAGACACACCCTACGGCTGGGTACACGTCGATGTCGCCCTTGAAGCCGCGAATTCCTTCACCTCTTGGCTTCGGGCTCACAGCGCTCAGCCGCCGCGGCATGCGGGAGCGCTCGTCCGCCGTGTCCTTCGTTCGGTCGGGTGCGAGTCGGCCTTGGGGGGGGAAGTCCTTGGTTCTCCTAGAGGCCAAAAGGAGGAACACCCCTCCAAACCACCAAGAGGGAAGCTGAAATGCTAGACTGAAAGGGGCATTGTAGTTGGCAAGCGGTTCGTAAGCTTGGCTATGATCCTTTTACCATGGTTATAAGTTGCCCAAGTGGGTGAGAACCAGGGTTACTAGCCACTTACCAAGTACAATGCCCCTTTAAGTGAAGAAAGGCCGGGAAGGCGGAAGGAGGGGTGGTGTGAGGGAGGGGGGGGGTCTGGAAAAATCATATATAATCCTATCCCTGTGACGGTATGACAAAAACGTCAGACAGTTGCACTAAGACAATAAGATGAACCACAACCACAGGCTTCTCTCTTTGGAAGCGTTTGGACAGGTTCAGGTTGGGACCCCCAATCAACCATCAACCTGCGCTGGGCGGTTTCAAATTGAGAGCGAGCATTGCAGCTTCGGTTAGAAGCCAGCGGTTGCTTTGATGGCTTTCATTGTCAAAGGCTGAGCTGAACCCCGACATGAAGCCTGGTACAAACCCCTGTCTTACGGATTTGTTGTTCACAATCGGCCTTTCTTGGTTCAAAATCGGTTGGCATTTGCCAGCCGGACCCCTTCTCCTCGCCTTGCGGGAAACCAAGGAGTTGAGGGTCTCACAAGTGGCCAGTGGGCCCGTTGGACGTATTCCGTGGGTCCCCTAAAAACACTGATACTCAGGTAGCCCAGGAATTTGGAAGTGACATAATCAAAACCAGGTGTCCGTCCGGAACGCCGACCGCTTCTGGAAGACAGAACGTGTCCCTGAAAGGAGGGGACAGTTCCTGTAAAATTCCATGTTCGTTGGTGGGAGGGTATCTCCAAAACTCATACCCAAAAAACGGCACGTGGAACTGCAATTCAATTCCAGTCCCCGAATTCCACTTCTACGGGGGGTGGGCGTCCTCCACACCCCACAACTGAGTGGTATCTTGTTTTCAGGGCACCCGGTGTTGGTTTTGAAGTGACCCAAAAGGACAAACAGCAGTTTTGTGCGTCCCTAAGTAGGAGGCACACACACACAAATACACACTCTGAACATGTCCCTTCTGGACCCGTCCTGGTCCGCGGCTTCCGCCAGCCACCCAAAGACGTCCAGAAAAAGCACGCTGCCTGGCTGCGAACTCCGGGAGGTGTCCACTTCTTTGGCTCAGAACTGCAATGTCCTCACTGGACCTGCGCATTCTGCTGGTGTTTTGTCCATGGCACTAAAACAAGGGCCCTGAGCAATGAACCTTCAATGTCCTTACAGAAGCAGTAATCCTTCGATTATACACCTGAACATTGCCTTGTAAATGGTGGTTTCCCCTTATTTTGGTGGAAAAGGCCATGTTTCAAAGGGGCAGAATGTATCTTTTAAGGAGCCCTGAGAAGGCTCCTCTTGGCGAACTTGGATGCAGCTCCGAGTCCGGCGCCCTTTCAAACAGCTGGAAAACCTTGCCCCAGTCACCTCTTTGGAAAGCACCGAAGAAACATTTGAGGAACGCTGTGAAGAATTGGGTCAACCAGGTGCCCCATAACCTTCTGGCAGCCAGAACAGAATGGGCTCAAAAAACCAGGCCACGGATGTGAGGATGCTGAACCAACATGTGCGGAAACATGTGAACACAGCCACTTGGCGCAAGCCTGGTATCACCAAAAAACGCCTTTGACAGTCTGAGGTTGAATCCTTCACCTCGTCCCAGAACCGAGAAAAAAACCGTGGGGTGGGTCCCGGCCGGGATCCGTCCACATGTCTCCAGCACTTCCCTTGCGCCAGCCCCGGGAAGGAAAAACCTGAATCAACCTGGCGCGTTTTTCCGGGTGGTGTGTCCAAAAGATCTCAAAGTGAAGCATTCCCATCAGACACTATACAAAACAACTAAAAAACAAAGAACAAAGACACATTCCCTCGGGACACAAAGAAAAACAAGAGCAAAAAACAAAACTGGTAAGCTCTTATTTTTACTCCTGCGTTCTCATTGCCTAGGCAGCCAATGAGGAAAGCCAATCAAGAGACTGGAAAAGGGTCGCTGATTTCCGGGCCGGCCAAAAGAAAACCTACCTTTTCGGTCACCGATTTGGACGTCACAGCTCTTTTAAAGGCTTGTGTGTGCAAACCTCCCAAGGTTGCAATGGGAACATGATTACCAGTTCTTTAAGTATGGGCCTGTCTGGTCTGAAGCAAAACATGTGAAGCAGCTACATCAACAGCTTCCGTCATAGCTGAGGGTTAGGGACTCGGAGCAGTGGCCAACTGGAGATTTCAAGCCCCCTCAAGCCACAAGTGAATCACGAACTGACAAGTAACAACAAGAGACAAGTACCGACGCACCCTTCACATGGGGCCTGCTGTTTCGGGGTTCTGGAAAACAATGTTCCTTTTAAAGCAGGGACCCCTGTCAGGTTCCATGTTAATGGGAGGGGAACAGCACCTCAACAACTCAAACCTAAGCCAAAACGCAAATTCAACCGTTCAGGCGACTCGGAACAGCCCGGTGAAGTCAAGCGGCGAAAGTTTGTAGGGAGCTCCACATTGCCAAAGGGCACTGCCCTGGCGACGATCCTCAGGAAAGGAACTCTTCGGACGCTTATGGCCTATGGGGGGGGGGGGGGATGGTGGGATGGTGGTGGGGATGGTGGGAAGGTGGGATGGTAGGGGGGGGGGGGGAATAAAAGGTGATCACCTTTGGGTTGCCATGACTAAAACTGGGAACCCAAAAAGGGTAAGCTAAAAGGTGAAAAGGTCGGCATTGGGCAATTGAGCCTATCGGGGGAGCCGGGGTGGCACCACACCCATGCCAAAACCAACTGGTGTTGCGGGCAATGGGACCCAAAACCATTGAGAAGAGTTAAAAGGGCGGATATCCACACCTACATGGGTAAAACAACTGCAGGCTACCCCAAGAACTGACCTTCAATCACTCAGGTTTTGATGGCTGTCCAGGCGGCTTACCTAGGGTGGGGTACACCACTTTCATAGGGCAGTATGTACACCTTGTACAGAAGGTAACTGACCTCTGCACCTCCAGACAACCCACCTGACTACCAGTTGCGGTGGTTGGCAGCGGCAGCCATGGCACCGGTGGTGCAAACTGGCCGCGCCAAATGTATGTCAATGAACTGCTGCGATGAATCCATGAGGCAAAACCTCGAATCTTACCTCCATTCAACACGTGAGAATGCTGAAGCACGCCACACCCAAGCAGGGACACGCGCTTTACCCACAGCCAGGGGGCAAGGTGAACACGATCCAAAGCAAGTGCAGGAAGAAAGCGAAGGGCACCATGATGCGGTAGCAGCTTGTCCTCAGATCTCGGGATGGATCAAGGGCCCCAGAGCCCTTGGCAAAGCAACAATATGTGGGCGTGTCTGTCTTGGAGGGTGCCTTTTTCTTTCTTAGGTGGGCTTAAAGGAAACCATGTCTTGTTGTCAACCCTGCAAGGTTGAACCAAAATGCATGGCCTGGACATGCCAATCATGTTGGTTACTGTGTTTTGCCCGCCATGGGCAGGACCTGCATGTCACAGGGCCACGAGCTCATTTCGAGCACGCATCAGGCATCTCAGGCTCCTCCCCTCAGCAAATGTCGAGTCCTGCGTCCTGACCCACCGCTGTGATCTCACCCATTGACAGTCGCAATGGAAAGATGCTGGAGCATGGCAATTACGCGACACAAGGCACAATGAAATGGAACGTCGTGACCCCCCACCGGCAACATTCAATGTCTATGGGAATCCGCTGTGGGCAAGGCCGCATTGGCCTGCAAAAAAACACTTGGCACTTGGTAGATCCTCCCCCCGTCCCTTTTCCTTCTCGTTTTCCGACCATATCCAAGGAGCATGAACTTCAAGCAGTGGCAAATCCACTCTCTGCAACCAAGGGACGTCTGGAGATTGCCCCGTTCAACTATGCTTAAGGGGAGCAGTTACCGGAGCACGCAGGGAGCATCCCATGTCCTGAACCGAAATCAATGACTTACACTCTTGCAAATGAAACCGCGAAACCATCATGTAACATCGTTTTTAGAATCTCCTTCTGGGGGACCCACTTTTGGGGTCGTTAATTTGCAGGGGACTGGGATTTGACCGACCCAAAGCCAAACCCGTTTCATTCCCTGTCCTCCTGACAGGAAACATCACAAACAAGCGTGACATCCGGGTGTGAAAGAATTAGGGACCCTCCTGCTGGTTGGCTTTTTTCGGGTTCCCTTCGACGGCTACCCATTTGTAGACACATCCATTTCTTGCTTGGTCGATGGGACCCACAACACCCTCAAAAAAAAGGGTACCCATTGGAACACACATCCAGGTCTGACCCACTTTGAAAGCAACGCCATTGCAAAATGACAGCCCAATACAACACATCCTTCACCACAGTCGCCAGCCAATGGTTGAAAACTGGGCCCACCCTGGCCAGAAGTTGGATTGGAGAGAGAAACGCTGAAACGCCTAGGCCCACAAGAGACACCATTTGCTTTGACATAGTGTGGATGGTTGCCAAATCTATTAGGCACCACTTAAGAAACCCAACGGAAATTGTTTGATTCCCTTGAAAATCCAAACCGGCAATGGTTTCAACCATGGTTTCGCTTCGTGGTGCGAAGGGATTTCGCATCCATCCACAATACGGTTCTGTAGGGCTTCGGAAGGTCATGTGCACCGCTTTCTTCGGATTCCTTCAAACCCTCCCCCTTTCCACCATCCCCATCGCTTGCGCAAGTTAAACTACTTGCTTCCTGCATTGGTCCGCAACACAGCCGGCGACCAATTGCCAACCTTGTGGTTTAAAAGAACAAGGAAAGGAAACAGGGGTCACTGGAGTACCCCCAAGTTGCAAGTGACAGGTGGTTTCCAGCTCTTGGAGGCCCAAAAAATATTGAAATGGAGGGATCCCTGAAAAACCCCTTGGCAAAATGTCAAAACAAATACCCTCCCGCGATCATGGCGCCTGACAGATCCTGTTAATCTGTTAAGAGAATCGATCTTTTAACATGCCCGAGCAGCGCGAAGCCGGCCGCCGGCAGCGGATGGGCCATGCCCACCCCACGGTGGAGGCTGAAACTCCTCGGTCTGTTCTGTCTGGCTCTTACGTCCTGAGTGGATTGCCCCAAAAAAGTCTGAAAGTTTGATTCACCACTAAAATGGTCGTCCCAAAATGTATAGAGTCGCCATGAACTCAGGAAGTGAGGGTTCCTTGAAGCTTGCGAATACAAATGGGTGTGTCGCAGAAAGGGAAAGGGGCAGTTTCCTGTTGATGTTCTTTTAAACGGGCCCCAAAAGCGTGCACACTAAAAACACAACCCCAAATCACGTTTTGTGAAGCAAATGATCACTTCTGGCCTCAGACCCCATCGAAGGTTCTGAGAAGCTTCCCGGGAAATTTCCTCCCTGCACAGTTGCCACCTGCGAGCCTCGCAACTCGTAGGGCACCCTGCTTGCACTTGTCCACTTTATGATTTGTCAAATGCTGATTGTATAGGTCCTTATATGAACCGTGGCCATTTTGGACTTTTGGGGAGTGATTTCCGATGATGAAGCCATAACTGATGGTTAATTAACCCAGAAACTAGGGTTCATACCAGGGGTTCATACATGGGCGTATATATATATATATACATATATATATATATATTCAGCCTTTGAATTGTTGGAAACGGCTCGGCTAGAAAACGACTGTTGCCGTTTGCAGCACAACTTATACTTCCAAGTGGGACCCCTCAATGAGATCGACTGCCTGGCGCCCAGATTGCAAGCCTGAGCCTCGATTCCTTGAGTTCCGGCCTTCCAACCAACATGTCTCAAACAGCTGGTGACAGGCAGGGGCTTTCCATTGGATACGGCAAAAAAGCGGCTGCCCTATTGGCGTGTATACTTGCAGTGTGCAACACCGAGTCTGATTGTCTTGATGAACCCCAACTGGGGCAGGCTTCTGTCCTTCAACAGTGAATCTCCCCCGCAATTCACGTGTTTGTGGTGTTTGGGAAGGGGGAGGGATTCCAACCACACCCTGAGCTCATTCCCCTACACGCGCCAGGCGGCACAGTCACAAGGAAGGGCGGGGCAATCAGCAAACAGGCCGCCATCGCCAGAATGCGCCGAGACAGGTAGAGGTCCAACCTATCGCGGTGCCCATCTTGGTCACAGAAAAAAAGGCCATACCACGATTGGTCAACTTGGTCTACCATTGTCAAACTTGCTCACATTCAGTGGTAGGTTACAGGGAAACAGCCCCGGTGGCTGAAATGGACAACCACCAGAAACGGTCAACATCATGACCCCATCGCAATCGCAGACTGAGTTACTCCAGACTTCTTCCAAATGCTCAAGTAAACTGCCTAAGGACAAGCGCATCCAACCACCACATGGATTCTATCCTTTGGCAACTCCCCATGTGTTCATATCGACCCACTTCTACGATCCTGGACCTCATGGTGAACTAAGCACAGAGTATTGTTTCAGTACTGAAAAGCAGCCAGCAAACAGACAGACATGAGTTCAGATGTGGGTCCCTGCTATCTGCCTTGATTGACCCCTCTTCAAGTAAACAATATGCAACCCAATCAAACATGTGAAATGTTGTTAAAGAAAGACGCGGACCAGGGTAGGGGAATGGTTGGCCCGATTCCTATGGAAAGTCCTCCTCAAGTCTTCCCTGCTGCTCCTCGTGAAATCAAAGGTGAACCTATTGGAACTTTCACTAAACATGGGGGCAAATTGAGGAACCGAAAAGGTGATTTTAGGTCGATTCTCTTTGGTTGCAAGTGAGTTGGTCCCTATCTGAAGGCCCAGTGTGCCAAGAAACAACCCACCTACATTCTACAAATCAAGACATATCTTCGCTGATGGTTGACCCGATCGAAAACCAAGCTATCTCTGACCCGTGTTCATCCCTCTACGCGCATGACTTGCTGGGGTAAGACATAAGGTTTTTCCAGCGGACCTGGCTTTGCCACTCGGGCCATGAATCTGCCAATCCCACAACAATTTCCCAAAAAGGAACGAATCTGGGCTGAGCACTCAGTGTGCGACCTTCCTTCCACACACATGATCCACAAGTAAGGGACCGAAAACCGTAAAAAAGTGAGCTCGTTTTATCTCCGAATCCGTGAGCTTGGAACATTCAAAATTAAAAAGAGGCAGATGAAACCACAGGCCGCCCACCAGCTCAGGACCCTTGAAGAAACACACACACACACACACCCACACACACACACACACACCCACATACCCACACCCACACGCACACACGCACACATTCAAAACAGCCAGGAGAAACGGGCATGAGCTATATTTCTGAAGCAAATTGGGGTGGCACCGGTGCCCCTCGTCCATCGAAGCGGAGAAGGCGCCTCGCCAAGACCCAGGCGCAGGCGGTAAAGATCACCACGCAGCAGAGCGCCGGCAGAGGCACGTCGTTCTCGGCCACCAGGGTGCCCAGCATCATGTAGCCTCAGCTTCCGGATGGGCACAAGTTGCAACAAATCCTGGCCCGGCGTTGGGAAACTGAAAAGAAACACATTGCTTGCGCAAGGGGCTGTCTCAACCCTGTTAATTCTGCTGTGTGGCCCAGAAGCGAAAAGCGCTTTGCGAGGACATTGGCGGATGAAAGCGACAAAATGATAGGCTGATGAAAAGCTGAAAGCCGGATGATTGGCGACTCTTCGGAGGAAGCTTGCTGGCTCGACAGGGGGATGAGAAATGGATTGACCCCGAGAAAAACCATGCATCCTAGGGTTTCGCTTTTTAAGGGAATCGAGTGGATGGACACTTTCGGGGGAAACTTGCTGATGAAAACGACAAAAGATAGGCTGATGACAAACTGAGAAAATCTGATACTTGGCGACTTTTAGTCCAAGTGCCTAAGGATGTACTTCGGGGGTCAACGAGTCAATGTACTTCCTCAGAGGGGCGTTCTGGGCATTTTGCTGTGGGTTTTGCCCGGGGGTGTCTCGTTGGCGGAAATGGAGGTGCAAACTCAGTGGGGGAAATACGAGAGGTTCACACATGTTGTCGAATGTCCATGTTTCTAAGTCTGCCCGGCATGGTCAACAGTCATTTGAGTCATAATCAACACCTGGTCTGAAAATGGTCTCTGCAGCCTCTGACCCCTGCCGATTTAGATAGGAACCAAACACCCCTCCCCCATTTCCCCTGCAAAAGGTTTGCAGAAATCGTCGCAGCGGGGTTCTTACAAGCTTCACGGCTCTTAGAACCTCTGAAAACTGAGAAGAAAACTAGGTCCTCCAGATTAGAGAGCTTAGAATAAGGGTACCGTCCTTTTTCTTTTTTCCTGTAGTCTACTCTAGTAGGGGAACCCAAAACCCAAAACAAAAGGTGTCAAAGGGCAACTAGCTGGGGGACCTAGAAAAGTGCCCCGCGGTGCTGGCCAAGCGGCTCAAAGTGTGCAGCAGCCTCAGCAGGCCGAAAAACATATGTCAAACGAAGACTCCAAGGACTCAGATGTCCAGTGGCCAAGGGAAAAACATCGCATCCTGTTTTGGGTTGGTCGAGTTTGAAGGGAACCCTTCCCCCCCCAAGAAAAGTAAAAAGGGCACCACTGGGCAACCAGGCAAAAGGAACCGAACTCCGAAGAATTTCCTGAGTTAAACCTCACTTTTGGGGTGCCAGTTTGAGAATGAGCTTCCCTTTGCTGGAATGCGGTCCTATTGCGTCATACAAGGAACCCTGAGGCATGATTCATGATGCGTCCATTCAAGTGACATCTGCCAAGCACGCAAAACGCCGTGGCCGTCAGCCCGCAGCAGTAAGTGGAAACGCACCTGAAAATGCTCGCTATGGGCGTTTTTTTTTCCCTCCATGGATCCAGACATATCATAAAGCATTGAAGCATAAGAAAACCACGGGAGTTCTCACTGGCCTTGCCCGGAGCTCAAGTTGCTGTGACCGTCCTGGACCACAGGTCTGCCGTTCAACTAGCTCTTTTTGAGCGCTTGGAATCAAAGGTCAAAAAGGCAGCCGCCACCAAACCACCAAACGGGGTGATGAAACTCAACCTAAGCCTTGGTCACCCCTCTTCAGCCCGAGCAATCCCCCTTCCACCTTTTGGAGGTCGGGCCATGCTTCGAACATCAGAGGCTCCATGCCATCTGCCCCAAAGAAACTCAAACATTTGCCAACGTCAATGCCGCAATCCAAAAAAAAACACAAACAACTCTGCCGCCGGTTGGTGCCAAGAGGGCCCTCTGCACAGGGCACCTCAGGTCTAGTTGGCACCTGCCGGGCAACTAAACAGTTTCCATGCTCCCTTCATTGCCCTTCTTGAACATCACCTGACAAAATGCGATTTCTCAACATCGCCTGGAAAATGCACATTTGTTTCCAAAACCCAGGGACCCACGAAAAGGTGGGCTTGCTTTAAGTGACCCCTCCGACAGACCCAAGGAAACTTCCATTTGCTTAGGTCCCCTGGTCAGTGGTGAGAGCTTCCCTTTAAAACCAACAGTTCTTTGTTTTTCTTTAAGCAACACAAACCAACAAAAAAAAAAATCCCTTCTGAAAATGGATGGTGAAGAAGAACCCAAGGGACCACACCCGGAGCGTCAGCGAATTTCGAGCTGAAGGGGCTGGTTGGTGCCCATCGCCATGCACACCCGCGCATAGGCGTCGTAGGACTGCCAGTTCGCCTGAAAAATATGGCTCGAGCGTCTCCTGTTGGCTCGTTTGCGAAATTTGCTCCCCTGCTGAAAGCTTAACTTTTAGTGGCTTAATTAAAACCCATTAGCTGGCAAAAAGCTCAAGTCCTAACATCCAAGCAAGTGCACCAAAGTTGGTTTAGGGGGGAAAGGGAAGCCAACAGGAAAACCACCAATTTTGGAGGCCCCCTCCAAAAAATACACACACACACAGATATGGGCGGGGGGGGGGGGGGGCTGCTGGTGCTTGCTGGTCAGGCGCCCCACTTTGCCGAATTTGTGCCGAGTGCTTGAAATGCGTCCCAAAACCACCTGCTGTGCGAGAGAGATGCCTGTCCAAAGCTGGCAAAGGTGATTGAAATGGCCCAAATGCATGCTGATGGTTTAACTGACCGTGTTGCAACTCAGAATTGACTCCGTAGGCGCAAAACCTTGAACGAGCAGAAGCAAGGACCTCCCCCTTCAGGCTGCTGGTCAAAGGAGATAAAACGGGCGGTGAACACAGAACTCGCGGTGGTTTATGCTCGAAGTGCACTTAATTAGTGCTTCACATTGTCTATGGCGAGCTCGTCTTTTTCAGGAGGGAAGGTAAGAGATGTAGCCCGTTGGACCCAGAATCAACCCTTACATCGTAGGAAAGAAAGGCTGCTCTGATGGAATCGCAGGGGCTGAGTATTCCGTCTCGCTCCCTTGTTCACATGCTAGATTTTCCCCGGAGCCCGGAACCTGGATGCCAAGTTGGGGCTTCCTTTTGGGAATGAGCATGTGTTGGACGCATGACACCCAAAGGCTCAAGCAACCCGCCATCCATTTCCTACTGCCCGTCCCTTCAGGAGAAAGATTTGTACTCCCACAGGCCCAGCGATCCGAACGGTCGTTGGACTCCTCGAAGGGGGCTGATTAACAGCTCAGTTGCCCAAAGGACCTGGAACTAAAAGGTTGACCTTTTGGGGCCATGACTAAATATGGACCAAAATGGGAAAACCAAATGGTCGGCTTTGAACAACTGAGACAGGTTCGAAGGGTGAAGCCACAGTACTGGGGTACTCATCGGCTCCTTGATCCTCAACCTCCTGCAGGACCCCAGGTGGCGTGTTGGACACTGAAACACTTGACACTGTCAAATAATGTTCCATACAAAGGCCCCATTCGCGCAGAAGCTTCAACAAACATGTGTTGTAAGAGTTCACTCCCTGAATACACTGGGCGCTAAACAGGTCTGGCAAAAACGTGGTTTTGGAATTTTCTTTGTGTTTGCATGCCCCCTTGGGTCCCTTGAAGTAAATTCAAACACATGGGCTATTTTGCACCAGTACTCCCCCAGCTACCCCCCCCTCCAGCACCCACAAAGGACCAATCATTCAAAGGGCAGCTTCCCCCTTCTTTCCAGACATCCTTCTTTGTCTAGAAAATCACTTTTTTGTTTGTTCAAAGACGGCGGCTGCAAAGAATGGGGAATCAACCTTGCGAGCTCCCCCCAGCCCCCCCCCTACCACAAAGGACCAACCAAAGGACCAACCAAAGGACCAACCAAAGGACTAATCAAAGGACCAATCATGCGCCTGCGTCTGCCGGAAGAGCTGCACGTGCTCCAGCTGCAACTCGGTGCAGTTGGGTCAGTGAGTCTCTCTTGGCGTGAACTTAACTTAGGGACCAAAACTGGAACCCACAACTACTATGTCCTTACAGGATCTTACAGGTAATTAACTCTTTAGCTCCCTCTTCTAAAGCAAGTTGGATACCCCCACGCTCCCTTTCCCTCCTGGTTTAGCGTTTAGGGGCAACCAGTTGGGAATCCATGCTTGGAAGTATTCAGACAAAAACGCAGCGGATATCCACACACCACGACTCCGCATGAGCTTCGTCAAACCTTGGCTCATCTCGCCCTGAAAGACGTGGGTTCACAGAACCATGCCGGAATTTCGGACCGATTCTGCGGAGCCTGTTCAGAGAATCCTCTTGTCTTGCTTGGGTTTGCGGAAGGGTGTGTGTGTGTGTGTCTAAGCCGACCCCCTGCCGCTTTTGACTCAAGTACGTGGTACCTTGGTTAATTAGGCCAATCATTCGGGCCCCCTACCCCCTTCCAACAACCCCTTCCTTCTAACGTTCAAAGACCCCTTCTTGGGTTGGGGGGGGGGGCTTTGGGTTGCTTCCCGAAGTGCCCTTGAATGGGGCAAAAAGGCGGGAACTGTTGGAAAATTGGGGGGCCGTGGCTAAACATGCACTAAATATGGGCGAACACGAGAACATTACCATGTCAAAGGGTTGGCCTTTGGCCAATGGGTCAAACAACAAACCAAAACAACAATTAACCAATTTGCAACCTGAGGTAGCATAAGGCAACTCGATTCAATGATATCCTAAAAGGACAGCAGCCCGCGCAGTTCAAAGAACTTGGCGCATTGCTGGCCATATCAACTCTGGGCCCAACTTCGGCCAATGTCCAGGGAGCTGAAGCAGCTCGGGATATTTCGAGGGCCAAGGCGCCACAGGGTTTATGTCCTCATCGTCAGAGGCGGTGTCGTCCACTGAAAGCGTTGCTGAGACCTTAGCGCCAGGAATCCATACCGAGCCCTACTGTGGATGGACGAAGTCCTGCACCATCGTTTATGGAATGATGGTTCCCTCGCAAATACCAACCAACAAGGGTTTCCCCATGGTTTCTTAGGTGGTGCAGTATTTCGTCCATCCACAGTAGGTCCACTGCCAAAGATTCCCCACCATGCCTCCAAACATTTATCAGGAGGTGGCAACTCTTCAAACCCCTGCGCCCCTCTCCCGTTCAAGGAGGTATCCCGGTGGCCCCTCCCACGACCAATTCGAGCGGAGAGTTTGAGGGCGCCAATTGCTTCCCACTAAAACGGTCTTCCCCCCAAAAAATGTTAAAAGTCCTGGAAATCAGGAAGTGACATATTCTTCTTGTTCAATCACGTTTTGCCCGCCCTGACCTCACACACTAGCTGACTTCCTGCCGAAGCCACGTCGTCCTCATCAGCCTTCTCCATGGCTTGGTTCAGGCGCTTCAGCTGCTGCCGCAGCACTGGTACGCGGAACATCTCTTGGACCTGAAGGGGTTGCTGAGAACGGCCCCCTTCACTTCTGCTTTCCGTTTTTACGCGGATCCTGAAAGTTATTAAACCTGCTGAGGGGTACTCAAAGTCAGTTGTTGGGGAGAATCATTTTGATACCTCCCATCCCTCACCCCGCCTTGGCGCCCTCGTACTGTAGTGCTTGGTACCGGCTCTTGTCCAAGGTGGCATCGTCCGGGATCGGCAAACGCACGAATTGGGTGAGCAAACCTCGAGCTGCACTGGGCAAACATTTCCCCTAAGGGTATGCAAATGAATATACGCGCCCCCCCCCCCCGAGAAAAAAAAAAAAAAAACGCCTGGAAGCTTCTGGTTGGCGTTGTTATGATACGCGCTAGGGGCGGTTTGAAGGGAACCCTCGAATGTGCATGGAACGGGGCAAACATCCCGTGGCCGCTTTGCGCTAAAAGGGGTCCGTCTTGGGCCCGGGCAGAAAGTTGCGAGGGCACCACATGCCATTTTGTGCCGCCGAATGTTTCCGGCTTTCCCTTGGTCTTGACCCACTCCGAAGCCCACGTAGCAAATGCCAGAAACATGGTGACCACATCTAAACCAGTTGGCTCTCGTGTGCAGCACCTCATGTCGCTTCCCTTAGGGCAAGGGTCGCTAAATTATCCCTTCAAATAGCAAAGCCATTGACGTCGGAGCCCGTTTCAAATTGCAACCGCAAAAATATCCCCCTAGTAATCCGGCATCTAGATGCTGATGGAATGCTAGTTGCAAAACCCAGGCTTCTTTCCCATCCTCACTCTGTGCACCTGGTACGATAGACATTTCAACCTGGGGCATAATGATGTCATCGCGGGACTTTGAGTTTCCCGAGACGGCCATTTAGCGTACTTTAGCGTCATCCTATCGCCTGGCAAGACTTACCGGGGATCAAGGCAAGGTGCTTCCGCGGTTTGTTCTTTCAAATTTCTTACTGGGGCTTGGGTGTGCGGGAATGTCAGGGACTAAGGTTCGCTCTAGGCGCCGCAAGCAGATGTGCCGTTGTTTGAGGGTACACCTTGAGGTAGGGCTTAAACAAAATATCTAGATGCAAGGACATACGCCCCCTTCAGCCAAAGCTTACTCTGGCGAGCAACAGGGCCCCAGCATGCCATCGATGATCAACCGACAAGGGCGCAGCAATACTACATGCATCTTCTTCTAGGATTTCCCCCCAAAAAAGGACCCAACTTTCAACCCCCCGCACAAGCCACAAAAACAAATCAGTTTCTTGGCTTCCCGTCAAAAAAAAAAAAAAAAACCTAAAAGACGTAGCCTCAGGTCGCCTCAAACCCGGGGCTTCCCGACCCCAGCGGCTTCCAGCGGCTGGGCTCCCCAGCGCACACCGAAGGCATGAGCCGCCACGGAGGCGTGCATCGCCAACCAGATGCTCAGCAAATAGTACCTCAGAGAAGAGGAAAAAAGAAGAAGAGAAAAATAAACATGGATCCTTACATGAACAACATGTAAATGGTGGTGTCCCTTCATTTTGGTGGAAAAAGCAATGTTTTCAAATGGGCAAGGTGTATCTTTTTAGGAGCCCTGAAAAAACCTAATATAATCAAACGAAGCTGAAGAGAAACTTCCGTAGTACTGGAACTAAATGGGCTAGCTTTTTTTTGTTTCTCTATCTCTCTCTCTCTCTCTAGTACCTGCAAGCTTGGGGCATTCGTCGCCTCTGGCCCAATTTTCTTTTTGGAGAGCCCTTGCAAATGAGGGTCGTCTTCTCAGTTCCTGGGTGGATTGGCCAGCAGAAGTCTAGACTGGTTTGCCGCCCAAATGGTCCAAACCCCAAAAATGTTAAGTCCAGGAACTCCGGGTGCGAGTTCCTCGAGGGAATTGTCCTTTTAAGCGAGGTGTGCAACCACGAAGTTCAAGCGTGAAACCAGCTTGGACACGTCCCGGTCGCCATGAGAAACAAACACTCCGGGCAAGGCGGCGCCTGAGAACCGACTCAAAAACTCACGGTGCTCCGTTGTTTGGGGGGGCCAAGGGAAACCCAAAAGGAAAACCGGCATTTAGGTGTCCGTGCCAAAGCCTTTGAAGGCTTTGGAACCTGATGCAAATTAGCCTCCACCCTCTTGCATGGAAGTGCACATGTTCGCCAAAAGGTTGGTAGTCTTCCCGCAAGCTTCCATCAGAGGGAGTTTGATTACTCAGGTGGGTTGCCTCTTCAGGGGTGCTTTGCTTCCCAGGGCATCCTTCCATTTGGTTAAGGCCCCAGGAAGAAAAAACATCTGTCCAGTAGTGATGAATTCCTTTTAAAGCCAACCAAGGAGAATCAAATATATTCTTAAGCAAATGGAGGTATCACGGCCATGGCAAGTGGAGCAGCATGCCAAGATGGAGAACGCTTGAGGGGATCTGCCAGGATGAAAGGATGTGCCCAAGGAACTGACCGTGGGCACAAATCAGAACTGACCAGCAGACACCTGCCACACCCCATCCCGCAGAAAGATGCCCTGCCAGTGCTCCAACTTATTCCTACGCTTCCAGTTCCACGGTTTGTTGGCTTGCTTGCAGCCTAGCACAAAGCAATGATACATAGGTTTCAGACACCGGCACCGGCAAGCAACAAATACGCCACTATAGATCTTTTCGTGCTTACGGGCCTGTCTGTACGCTTGCGTGTTCAAGCCTGGATTCTGAAGCGCATATCCCGGGTAAACTTGCAGGGTTGGGCCAAGCCCCCACCTAAACACATTGAACCCCTTGTTTCAATGTTTCTAACAAGCTACTTTGGCTGCCCTTTGAGAAGGCTTGCTTACCTCCTCGGAAGCTTCCGTCGAAGGGGCAAGAAGGCGCCGGCGTTGCAAATCGCAAAGAGGTGGACGAGCCACGTCGGGCCATTGTCCTAAGACTCAGCTGGGCTGGTGGACCGGCGGAAGGTGTGGCGTATGCCCTGGACAGAAAAAGGGGTCGAGGTGGATTGTAGCAACGGCGTGCTCAACGGTAAGCAAGTTCCACGTTGAAAATTTCATCGTGGCACCGGCTCTGGCAATGCTCGGACAGCAAGTTCCCCCCTCACTTAAATTCAGTTGCCCAAAGGACCTGGAACTAAAAGGTTAACCTTTTGGGGCCATGACTAAATATGGACCAAAATGGGAAAACCAAAAGGTCACAAGGTCGGCTTTGAACAACTGAGTAAAACTACGACCTGTGAAACATCCTATGCCCAACTCATCAGGGTAGGCCAAAGAACAAACAAGCAGGCATCGCGCCAATGATATGTTCGACTTGCTTTCCATTCGACTTGGCATTTTCAGAAAGGAGGTACCCTCACCCCCTACCAAGGCCCCAGGTAGACTCGAACCCAGGGTTGCTCAACGACGGATCTTGGGCAAAAGCAGGCTGCCTTGGTTCAACTCAAGTACACACACCAGGGCCAAGAGCTCCACATGCGGAAAAAAACACCTTGCAACCCTCAAAGCTGCGTAAGAGGATGGGACTGCCATAGAAGTCAATTGCTGACTTAGGGCAATTGTGCTTTTCGTTTCAACTCCCTGACTTGGACAGGGTGTTTCTGCACCAGTACCTTCTTTCTTCTCTTGGGCGGAGCTCGTCATAACATCTAGGCTGATTGATTTGGAGAAATTAGAAATCAATTCCATTGGGCCCAAAGCGCAGTGTCTAGCAACATGTGTTGATTGATGGTCTCCGTCTGGTGCTAGCTTTCCCCCCTGCTCATGAGAAGCATGATGCCAGGGCTCCCTTTGGCCAGGCGGCCCGTTTTGGGATCTGCTCAAAAAGTGTCGAACACTCGGCAAGGTGGGGGAAATGGAAACCACTAAGCCAAGGAAAAGCCGAAAAAGCCAAGGAACCGAATGGCTGGGAACCAAGCAGAAAGAAGCCTGGCTCAATTACAGTCTGCAAACCTCTGCCCACTTGATTGTCCAAAGGCAACGTGCTGTCGGAGCATTGGTCAAAGGGAAAAAGGAATCTGAGAAACAGAAATGAAACACCACTTAAACAGCAGGTTCGCCAACTTACGGTTGGGTGAAAGCAAAGGGCACCTCCCCTTCTTGGTTTTCTCCTCCTCGCGTATCAAGGAAATGCTCTGGATGGACGAAATCCTGTTAACTATGAGTGAACGATTGTTCGTCGGTATTTAGAGGGGGGTCGAATCATTCCGTTGGGTCTTCTTAGGTAAGAACTTGATTTTGCGCCATCCGCAGTGGCATCTATACTTTCACTAAGGTCTAGTGAAGCGAGATTTTCTTGCTGGTGCGATGGGTGGGGAGTCACCTTCTTCGGGTGTTGGGGGGATTCCCCTTAAAAGAAACCACCAGTGGGATGCCTTCCGGGTGTTGGGACTGAACCCAGGGGTCCCCTTAAAGGAAACCACCAGTTGGATGGTTTTTCTTGGGGTCATTCCAACTCCCTCCATTTGCTTAAGCCCCTGGCAAAACTAAAAAACCCAGTAGTCAGAGATTCCGATTTCCTTTGAAACCAACAAAGGCAAATAAACACATATAATTCGTTGAATCCAACAAAGGCAAACAGAAATCTAGAATCTGTTGAATCCAGCAAAGGCAAATAAACACATATGATCCTTTGAATCCAGCAAAGGCAAATACAAATATACAATCATTTAAAACGAACAAAGGCAAATACAAACAAGAAATATAATCCTTTGAAACCAACAAAGGCAAATAAACAAAATATGTAATCCTTTCAAACCAACAAAGGCAAATAAACACAAATAATCCTTTGAATCCAACAAAGGCAAATACACATATATCTAATCCTTTAAAACCGACAAAGGCGAATAAACACATGTAATCCTTTGAATCCAACAAAGGCAAATAGAAATCTATAATCTGTTGAATCCAGCAAAGGCGAATAAACATATATCATCCTTTAAAACCAACAAAGGCAAATAAAAACATATTTATATATATATATATACTCCTTTCAGCAAATGGAAGGTTCTCATTCCCTGGCGATCGAACACCAAGTTTGCCTCCAAGCCGCGGCTTTCGGGCGACCTTCCACGTAGAGGGTCATGCAAAAGCCCAGCTGAAGCGTGCTCACCACCAGGTAGTTGTCCTTAGCCCGTCTCCGAGTGAAGGCGTCAACCCAGGCGCCCAGTGTTTTGTTCAAAGGCAAAAAAGAAAACACAAAGCATGTGTTTGGGTTTGGGACATTTTTGGGGAAAGGTTTCTCCCTTGAAAAGGACACAAGGGCACCACTGGACGTGCAAAAATGGACTCACTTCCTGATTGGATTGGCAAACAAAGGTCCCAACTTTCTATTTACGGATAAAATGGTCTTCTCAAAAAGTTAAAAGTCCATGAACTCGGGGAGTGAGCCCACAGCAAGAATGATTGAACTCGCTGAAGATGTTCATCGACCTTGTCGGGCCAATTTCGGCCAGCGTTTGCCTTTGCCTCGCAGTGGCAAACTGCATGTTTGGGGGGCTGCTCCCTCAAACAAACAAGCAAGCCCAACCGCGGGCCAAAGGGAGCCCGCCCAACAGAAGCAACCGATTGAGAATCTCCAATCCAGTGGCCATGGGAAGAAGTGCGTACGCCCACAAAACTGCGAAAGGAAGGCCACCTATTCGAAGGGCTCACGTAACAAAAGGGGTTGTGCGGTGCATTGAAACTACATCTGGTCCTTCAATTGCACTTCCTTCGCGGGTTGTGCAGAACACGTGCACACAAACCTTGTGGTTTCCATTAAAACTGTCTTCTCAAAAATTGTCGAAAGTCCGAAACGGAACTCCGGGAGTGAGACAAAAAGCAAATGAGCAGTGTTTTTTTTGGTGGTTCGAGGTCTATACACTACTTGCATGCCTACGCGAAGGCCTACGCAAACCTACGCGGCCTGCGAGGGGTGCCTACGCGAGCACAAGTCAGCTTCCAGGTGCCTACGCGAATGCCTACGCGGGCAAGTTTTGAGTTCGAGTGTCGAAGTGCACTGTGGCAGCTCCAGCTGGAAAATCGCAACTTTTCAGTTTTGGCAGCTCCGGCTCTAAGATCAGAATTGCAGTACAAGTGAGAAGCCCGCATCTGTCCAAGGATCTGGCTGCCAGAAAAGGTCTACGTACCCAAAATGCCTTGAAAGCCTACGCGAATGCCTACGCGGGGCCTACGCGGAGCCTACGCGAAGACTCCAGAACAAACAGACGGAAGGCAAAAGAAGCAAATTCATTTATACTTGGCAAACAGCACTGAGTCATGATTTGTTCAACAAACGCCTACGCGAAAAGCCTACGCGAGGGGTGACACAACAGCCTACGCGCTGAAGCCTACGCGAGCCTACGCCCCCAACCAGGATTGCCTCCGCAAAGTACATGCAGTTCCCTTTTTGTATAAACCCTTTCATTTGATTAAAAAACGCTGCTCAAATCATATTTCCAGTAGTGAACGACTCCCTCTAAAAACCAACCGGGGCAAACAGAAAATCTCCTTCAGCAAATGCAGGCCTTAGACTAGCCCGTTCTTTGCGCTCATTTGGCTGAGGGTCAAAACCCTGTCCCCCTGGTGAACATCAAAATAGGTGGTGCATGGGTGTTCATCCGAGACATAGGTTATGACCCATGGCCATTTGTCGTTTTTGCTGCCAAGGCGTCCATCTTGCGCACTGTCAACTTGACGAGGTCTCGGACATCTTCACCTGAAAGCGAGGTCCCGGACCCGCTGCTCAAACAAAGCTCGGCGACTGGCTCCAGTCAAGTGACAGCCGCAAAAGTACTTCCCCAAATGGTAGCTTAAGGGGAGACCACTCCCAGCAATTTTGAGAAGAGACCCACCTGTGCAAGTGTTCAGCTTATCCAAATGGCTGATTCCAAATGATTAATGTCCACGTGGGATTTATAAATGCACCTGCAATAAAGACAAATGGGGGGCCCAAAAATATTAGTAAATGCACCTGGAATAAAGACAAGCCCCTGCCCCCCCCCCCCCGCCCATGAAAAAAAATGTCCCCCCAAAAAAAAGTCACACAAAAAGTCACAAAAAAGAAGAGAGAAAGAGAGAAAGGACAGGAAGGAGAGGAGAGATAGCCACCCCTGGTCCTTGGATCTTTGGTACCTTGTTCCTTAAATCCAAAACTGTCAGCTTTACCAAACCCATGTTTTCTTACATGTCTCTTGTTTAAAACCTGCCCACAATCAAACCCACAAAGGGGGTAGTACTTCAGCCCCCAACTTGACATTATTTCAGGGGCCCCCGAAATAAAGTCTTGTTGCCTGGCCCCCCCAAGAAAAACAAAAGGAAGCTCCAGCAATACTAAATCAAATGGAAACTCAAGTCTACCGATTCTAAATCAAATTGAAACTCAGTTCCAAATCTGAAAAGGAAGCTAGCAATACTA